GCATTACACGAGTTACATTAATCCCAATTAAGCATCGCCCTCCAACCAGTCCCTATGAAAGGCTGGTGTCAATTTGTATGAGAACGTATGCTGCCCTCTCGTGGTTGTGTTCATGATCATTGCAATCCGTTGGCTAGGCTGCGTTGTTGGCTCGGTCATGTCGCCCCCATAGTCTAAGTCTAACCACAGTGCGCCTCAAGCAGCGCCATACGAAATTTGGCCACAACATAGGCATTTTTACTAGGTATAGATGTTTAGGCAAACATACCTTATATTTTTATTATTTTATTGTTTCCCTTCTACCTGACTTTACAGAAAGAACCAAGAATATGAATCCCTGCAGTCATGAAAGCTTTAAATCAAAATGTATACCTCCAGTAGTTTTTAACACTTTCGGAAAAAAATGCTGATGGTTCTGAGTCCATGTTTGGTGAGATTTGTATTGTTTATATGGCTCTGCATAGCAGGGTGAGTAATGGCAAGTATATAACCTTGTGTTTATATATATATTTTTAATCGTACTTTATGATTGTCAACTAAACCGTACGTACTGTGCTGAAAGAAATTGTTATAGGTGGATTCATTTTTAACTAATTTAGTTGCATTGCAAAGTGTGTGGCACGGTTATGAGGTCAGTGGGATATCAATGCTAGCATGAACCACGTGACATTAAATACATGAAAAAAAGATAGATTTACCAATTGTGCTGTTTCAATTTTTTTTTTACAATAAAAAACGTAATAAAAATCAATGGAACGTTTCTTCTCAGAAATATTTAATTTAGCGATGATAACAGTAGCGGTTATGCCAGGCAGACAGCAATGAGTAGGTACATTGGCTGCGATGAGACTTTTAATTGACTATTTTTATTTAGCGGTTTACTATTTTCATTGCAATTTCCATTTACCATTACTATTTTTACTCTTGGGTTCTTTCGGTAAAGTCATATAGAAAGAAAATAAGTTAAATAATAGAACACGACGTTTCGATTGCAACACAAGCAATCGTCATCAGGCAGGAATGGATGATAAAACAAACGTAGTAAACTTAGCAATATAATGCAATACAACACAGAGTCGGCTAACACAACAGTCAACACCCCACCTGGTTGATTTACGTTCTTCCAAAGATTGCTACATTTGAGAGAGAGACAAAACACAGATATGGAAACACACAGACAGACACACAAGCCGAGAGAGACGCACACAGAGACACACAGAGAGAGACACACAGACAATTTACTATTTTTATTTACCAGGCCCACTGAGCTGTATCGCTCTTTTTCAGAAGCAACCTAGCCACAAATGATAGCCCAATGAAGTGGCTTATCACGCGGAAATCTATCACAGCCAAATACTCTAAACGCACGTTATTTCTAAATAAGGAAGAACTAGAGAAAAAATCCACGCGACCATGGGGAGAGAGACATGCAAACTCCAAATATACAGGGGTCAAGGTCGGGATAGAACAAACAAACTCCTGTATACCTGGCGAGGTAGTTAACATCTCGCCACCACGGTGCCCACAATGGGAATCTGATAGCGGCTCTGCCTGGCCAGTGAAGGCCTGGATGCCGAAGCGCGTCCCTTTTTATCGTCAGATCGCATCTCCCCAAGTGTTTTGGGGGACAACCATTTGGGAAATTTGGCCGGTTTTCAATAGGGTTAGTCTCGAATAGCAACGTAACGTTTGTTCGTGTTGGAGCATCTCTCTTACGAGGGGGTATTGTGCCTCCGCGTTGCAGACAGACCGAGAGGGCTGTTGCATAAACGTTTTAAAACTTAATTGTAGAGTCAAATGATGACGTCACCCTGCTGCTGCTATATTTAAGACCGGGAGCAAGTGGAGGGCTTTACCATTCTGGCGAATTGCCTGATGATGCTGGATGTAATTAACAGCGAAACGTCGTACTCGAACTGTAAATGTTGTGGGTTCACTCTTCAACACACCGGTGGGCCAAAGTAGTGAACTATTTGTCTTTTGTCAACGTGACACTTTTTTGCTGATTGGCCGTGTCGGGTGGTGGAGGGTTACGACACATTTATAAATAACGCGATTTAACCCAAAAAACCTTTATTATCGAATATAAATATGTATGAAATAGAACTTGACAATTTACGGTACATAATGTATTTGTCACTGCACGTCAAAGCCGTGAGATGTATGACACACTGTCTATTGCTCTGATGGCATCTGTAATTCATTTTTAATTCATATATCTCAGGAGATTTTGTTCACTTATGGCCAGTTAGAAAGAGTAAATATCTAAATAATAATACATATTGACTTCAAACTTTCGTGACTGCAGGAATTCATATTCTTTGGGTGTTTCGGTAAAGTCACGTGGAGAATTATTTTTTTATTTTTTACAAAAAAACGCCTTTGTTAATTTGTTTTGTTCTACGTGACTTTACCGAAAGACCCAAAGTATAATACTACTACGTATATTTACAGCCCTTTGGCATTAAATTTCTGCAATGGCGGAGCCAGGATTTTCAGGTAGGGGGGGGGGGGGAACCCCTCCAGCAATGAAAAATGATAGAGGAGTTGTTAGTGAGTAAGGAGTTGTTAGTGAGTAAGGAGTTGTTAGTGAGTAAGGAGTTGTTAGTAAGTAAGGAGTTGTTAGTAAGGAGTTGTTAGTAAGTAAGGAGTTGTTAGTAAGTAAGGAGTTGTTAGTGAGTAAGGAGTAGTAGTAAGGAGTTGTTAGTAAGTAAGGAGTTGTTAGTGAGTAAGGAGTTGTTAGTAAATAAGGAGTTGTTAGTGAGTAAGGAGTTGTTAGTAAGTAAGGAGTTGTTAGTAAGGAGTTGTTAGTAAGTAAGGAGTTGTTAGTGAGTAAGGAGTTGTTAGTAAGTAAGGAGTTGTTAGTAAGTAAGGAGTTGTTAGTAAGTAAGGAGTTGTTAGTAAGTAAGGAGTTGTTAGTTAGTAAGGAGTTGTTAGTAAGTAAGGAGTTGTTAGTAAGGAGTTGTTAGTAAGTAAGGAGTTGTTAGTGAGTAAGGAGTTGTTAGTAAGGAGTTGTTAGTAAGTAAGGAGTTAGTAAGTAAGGAGTTGTTAGTAAGTAAGGAGTTGTTAGTAAGTAAGGAGTTGTAAGTAAGGACTTGTCCCTTGCTTTTTATTCGAGGCGTGTGCGGCGATGGCACAGCCATCGATCGAGAGTCGAATTCGAACCGCGTTGTGTGATCGGCATCGCACTCGCCGAAGGTGTTGATGTCTTCAGGGAAGTCGTGGACTGTATACACAACTGCGTACAATTCTGAGTCGCTTATAACTGCTTTGCCGTTACTTATCGCCAATTATGGACTCAGACTATTGTCCTATCATCTCATAAAGTCCCTGGCACGTAATAATATGCTACACAGTGGCAGTGGGGGTCGCAAAATGTCGATTTATCTATATATATAAAAAAGGGAAATTTGTGAATGTGTGTCTGTTCAAATTTTTTAGCGTACTTCCCGACATGCAATAAACTTGAAATTTGCCATGTGGGTACTTTCCAGACTATACACCATGTAAAAGTTATAAAAATAGACTTTAGTAGATTTTTTTTTGGGGGGGGCGCAATAATGCATATATTTTGCACAGCAAGTGAGCTGTGACGTCACATCTGTCATGTCACCCGCGCATGCGGAAGCGTGGGGGCACGTGCCACCCCCCCCACACTGGATAAATGCCTTTATCCTGACACCATATTTAGCAATAGGAGTGGTTTGACCATGCTTCACCACACTGGTTATGGTTGTCGGTGAAGGGGGGAAGCGAGGAATGGCTCGTATAGCACGATCCACTGATGCTAGCCGTGGCCATGAATGAATCGAACTTAGGTTTTCAGGTTCAGAGCACATTGTTTACAGTAAACCATTTCACAAATATTTACACCCAAAGCTTATGAAAATGCAACACACGCAATGAATAATGAAATAATTATTTTAAACATATATAGCTAACCTGTGTAGTAATGCAAGAGGGGAACAATGTATTTGGAATAAATAAGGAATTTGCATTGATAGTTGTGGAGAGGTGGAACAGAATCGCAACATTCTTTAGTAACATTGCATTACAACAGAAAATATATATACTCGGTTAACCATTTTTTTATGTTAATTGTACAATTGTATGAATTAATTTGTTCCTGCTGTACGCAGGGCTTGAATTTGCACTGATTCTTTGTTGGGTCGCTGGTAGACTGGATTAGGCACGTGGCTACTCGGAGTCTACTCTTAGTCACGTGCTGCAGTCATAGTGAGAGGCATACTGGATGCTGTGTGACGGGTTCGTAAATATTGCGTGGGTTGCCGACCCAGACATACCCAGCTGCAATTAAGTCCCGGTTGCAATGCAGTGTTCCTGATGGGGTTTTAGTTTTGTTTATAGTTGTACGAAGAATTTGGTTAACAATGTGTTTTTTTATCATTTTACCTTTCATCTATTTTTCTTAAATGTTACGAGCGATATGGTCTGCTAGCATTATCTCTAGCATTATCAGTTTGTACTGCGTCAATAGGGTATTACTGAAGAAACAAAACAGCCCTTGATCGCTCGCCTTACCATACCGGATGTAAATAGTCTGGGGTGAATAACCTGGCACTTTCGACCTTATCACATTGCTCACGCTTGGTTTTATTATACATTGGCCAGCACGTGGATGACTCACAAATGCATTGAGCAATGCGGTTCAGAATCATTGACTCACTTAGCTTCTGGTGTTATACTGGTAGGAACCTCCTGGTTACACCAGCCCACAAGGGATTAGTGTCCGTCCGTCCGTCGTGCATCCAAAAATGGGAGGGGTGGGGCTGGGTGGGGAGGGGAGGGGCTGGGTGGGGAGGGGCTGGGTGGGGAGGGTGGGGCTGGGTGGGGAGGGTGGGGAGGGGCTGGGTGGGGAGGGTGGGGTTGGGTGGGGAGGGGCTGGTCACCCCGTGGTGCCCTTATAAAACTCAACGTTTAACTTACTCACGCCGGCTTGTACCGCCCTCACAGTCGGGCATATTTGTGGAATACACCACGCCGCCGTTTACCCTGGCCATTGACTGAGAAACCCAACGTTCCTACCTGCTCCCTCCGCAGGAATGTGTTCCAGAGAGAGGAACACATTGTCCTTTAAACCTTACATAACATGCCACCGGCTGCAAAGTTATTTTGATGCCGTACATAATGAAATGTGGTACACTAACGAGCATAAAGAGCAGTTTTAATCAGTGTCTACTACCTGCTATTGCATGTGGTTTAGAATCGTGGGAATAAAAAAATATACGGAACAAAAACAAACGCTTAAAAGTATTTGTTGGATTTGAGAACATGCTCAGGCCTAATGCTGTAATTCAAATTGTTAATAGTCGGCTTGGGCAGAAGTTGCTCCTAAAAGGAATGATGGCAGATGGTCATAAAGAGTGCAAAGTAGCAGCAAAAGGGATGGGATGTGTTCAAGAGGATGCCCACTGAGGAGATGGAGCAATGAAATCAGGTGATTAAAATATATATACTGTAGTAAGATCATGCGTGATGGACACAGAATGGGGAGGCCTTTGTCCAGTAGTTGATTGGCCTTGGCAGATGAGGACCAAATCACCTGATTGTGCCTGATCTCATCAGATCTCAAAAAGCTAAGCAGGGGGGTTCAACCTGTCGAGGTGTTTGGATGGGCGACCACCTTGCATAACAGGTGTTACAGGCCATGGGCTTACTTTTGTTTGTGCAGCAACATTTAGTGGTGCAGAAAGGTTCACCGTTGTACTTTCATTCGGTGTGTTCCCACATCTATGCTTTCGATCTACATGAATCTGCGTTGACCAGCGAGGTGAAGTATGGTCAAATAATCCCTGCAACCACCACGTCGAGAAGAGGCATTCGTCCAACAGTGGATTTACAATGTCCAGGACATGAGGGATCATGGACCATTGCCATGGTCCAGATTTACCAAAAAAAAGTCGTTCTGCAATTACATGTCATACAATGCCATTGGATGTTTTATTTTATATACTGTCATTATTTATGACATAGTAATTATAACGCTGACCAGCATTGTAAAGTGAATAAACAAAAGGAATCATCCAGCAGTAGAGTGACTAAGCCATATCTACAACTGTGGCATTACCGACACTTCTGTAAGGGTAAAAACAAAGTTGATATCACACCGACAAACAACAAAATGACCTTTATTTCCTGGCCCTATAAAAGTCTGGGTTAATATATTGCAAGGGGAAGTTGTGACATCCCCTCTTTCGGGTGATGCACAGAGAGTGTGGCTTATAAAGGCACCTGGCTGCACTCCCCAGACTGGAGCGTGTCACCAGGACCTCATGGCATACACAGCCAGAACACACAAGGTAAGCTTTGTTAAACATGTGTAGTGTTCCATTTCACTCGGACAACTTCTGTCTTTCTTCGAACGCCGCTCTATTTACAACTCTCAGCATGTCCTCCACATTCCACAGTATCCTGGTCGCCACGGCTCGCTCGCCGTGCTTCACTCGACTCGCTCGCCACCTTTGTCTCTCCACTCCCCACGATTACTTCGCTTGCTCTGCACCCGGCAACTCCGCACACAGCGACTTCGCACACGGCGTCTTCAGCTCCGCTATCGCTACGCTCTCTCCACTACTGGCTATTCTCGTCTCCAGCTCCGCTATCGCTACGCTCTCTTTACTGCTAGCTGCTCTCTTCTTCAGCTTCGCTCCACATTCTGTTTCCAAACTCCGTCTCCAACTCTCTCTCCAAACTCTGTTTCCAATTCTGTCTCCAAACTCTGTTTCCAATTCTGTCTCCAAACTCTGTTTCCAATTCTGTCTCCAAACTCTGTTTCCAATTCTGCCTCCAAACTCTCCTCCAAACTCCACGTCTTGCCTCGTCCAGCTCCCAACTCCAACTCCCGCTCCAATTGCCGACCCCCCCAATTTATCCCCGCTCTCATTACACCCCCAATTAATTAACGCGCGTCCTAACGGCGCTCCGCGTGACCGTCGCACCAACCAATCACAGCCGTCCACGGCTACCCCAGCTTAATTGCCCCAACATAACCTGCACTGTATTCGCCTTCACTACAGACTGACCCAAGATAACCCGTACCGTCTGTGTGATCATGTAATCACGCTGTCTGTGCTACGCACCTTCCTACTCCACTACACATGTACCACTGATAGATTGTGTTTTGTCTGATGCTGTTTTGGCATTGGTGCACAAGCACAAATATTGTATAAAAAAAACTCTAAATATTTAGTTATGAATAACACTTCTTGAAAAGAAAAAAAGCAATTCTTGGAAATGGCCCTTCATAGAATATCTTCCCTCAGCTTTGAATAGAGCCCTCTGCTATAAGGAATGGCCATTACCCAAAACGTCATATTTTTCCTTTAAAGGCAGTGTTATTGATTATCTCTTACTGGTAAAGATGATGTAGTGCAATTCTTATTGCGGTATTTGAATGACAATACTGACACTTGATTGCAGTATATTCTCTCAGTGTTTTTCTCCGTGTATGATTGGCTCGTTTTCTCTATATATCACCATCTTTGAGATGTGGCGCAGGAGATTGCACACTGCGCGGTGAATCCACCGACCTGAGTTCAATTCCTCACCATGGCTAACATCAGTGTCAAGTGATATCTGAACCAGACTTGTTCCCATCATTCACCAACTTGCACTATTCAGTGTGGTGAAGAAGTATGGTCAAACAGCCTCCCACGACCAGCGGTGAATTTACGCAGTGCTGTAAATTTGTTTTAATTACCGTATTGTATATCATAAGTAAAAAAAACAACAACCCGGCTTTGATGAGTGATTGATGTACAAAACAACGTCATTTAACATGCACTTCATGAACGTAACAATGTGCTTCCTTGTCTTTTTCATCCTTTCCAGATACTGCAAAAAAAAAACGTCAGTTAGGTGTGACATTTCATTGATTGATATTCTGCTCACACTGCTTAGCTCGCTACTCCCTCGCCCGTTGTTTCGGTATCTCCGTCGATTTGACCGAAGCGGCCGATGGTGTTTTACCCTAATAACCGCACAGCGTAACAACACCACCTACACAATCTAAAAGCTCGTTCCGCACGCATGACTCAGACGGGCCTCGAGTTTACATCGTCACACTCCACGACGGAGCAGATTTATTCCTCATTCTCATTCTTACCACGCACAGCTCCATCCAGTTCGCCTTCACGTGTCTATCCAGCTTGAGATATCCACCCTGAACTCAAGAAGCTTGTTAACCCCCCTAACACAACGAAACCTTCATTCGTCGCCGGGTTAAAGTTTGCGTAGTTACTCCCACCTCTTTCCAAGTCGTCTGTCTTGCCAGCGTGGAATAGGAGGCGCAAATACTCCCCTTTAACTCGCGGAAGCCCTTCTTCCACAAGCAGTGGTGTGAACAAACAAAATCGCACGGCTGCACCGTGAAGTTTAATTCGTGATCACAGTGACGGCACACACACTATACCGATACAAAACCCGTGCAAGTAAGCACAGCCGTGTATAGCCATGGGTCTCGGCTTGGGGAAGGCGATAAAGTCCGTGCTGGGCAAGGACTTTGACCTGGAAATCTTCCGCCTGGAGCCACCGGGGGAGCGGACGATGCCCCCTCAGCTGGCCTTCCTGCTGTCCCAACCTGCCGCGCCACGTGGACTGCAGGTCCAGCACGGCTTCAGCAGCACGGACCTCTCCCCGTCCATGTCCCTCAAGGAGGGCGACGCGCTCACCGTGCACCGCAGGCCGATGCGCGACACGACCGACGCGGCGCGCGGACGGACCGCCTACCGTCGCGGCGTGCACACTTGGGAGATCACCTGGCCGACCGAGCAGAGGGGCACTCACGCCGCGGTCGGCGTTGCCACGTCGGACGCTCCCCTCGAGGCCACGGGCTACGTGGCCCTGGTCGGCCGGGGACGCGAGTCCTGGGGTTGGGACCTGGGGCGCTGCAAGGCGTACCACGGAGCCGTCGACTCTCCGGGCCGGCCCTACCCGGCTCACCTGCTGCCCTGCGAGAGCTTCCACGTGCCCGAGCGTCTGGTGATGGCGTTGGACATGGAGGAGGGCACGCTGAGCTTCGTGGTGGACGGGGAGTACCTGGGAGTGGCGTTTTCCGGGCTACGCGGCAAGACGCTCTATCCGGCGGTGAGCGCCGTGTGGGGCAACTGCGAGATCAAGATGCGCTACATCAATGGGATTGAGCGTAAGTCCAAATGCATTTGTGTTAATAAAAAAAAACTGTTAAAACTGTGAACCAATTTTTTTAAATGTATTTTACCACGTAAAGACCACTGAGCTGTATGTTTTTTTTTAAGAAGCGACCTGGCCACAAATGACGGCCCAATGAATTGGCTAATCACGTGGTAATGTATAGCGGCCAAATCCTCTAAACGCGTGATTTCTAAATGTGGAGGGAAAAAAAACCGGAGGAACAGGAGAAAAATCCACGCGACCACACGGGGAGAACTTGCAAACTCCAAACACACAGGCGTCAGGGTCGGGGTCGAACCCATGAACTCCTGCATACGAGGCGAGGTGGTTAACATCTAGCCACCGTGGCACCGCTCCGCGTGAACTCTGTGTGTCTGCCCGTTTATCCGTAAGAGGGGGAAGGGCACGATAATTCCCGTGAAGTTTCGTATAAAGTTGTGTTGCTATTGAGGAATTATCCTGTTGAGAACCAGTTAAATTGGTCGAAGGCTTGCTCCAAACTTGGAGACGCAAACCAGAGAAAAATAGAACAATATTTTCCAATATGCAAACGCGTTTTGCTGGAAAGTATTAAAACTATGAATGTCCCTCATATTTCGTATTTTTTTAATTAAGTCTGGTAATTTGTAATAATGCACAGTATATGCAGTAACAGTGCATACTGTACACGAGTATGTAAAATGCATATTGACATTTTGGGCTGCATATAGCCATGCGGCAAATGTATTGTTGTGCTGTTCTATGGTCTCACATTCACCAACCCGAACTGACCAGTGCAGTGAAGTACTGTTACATGAATTGTTACTGATATTAGCCATGAGCAGAAATCGAATTCGAGATGCTTGTTTCATAGCGTCGTAAACAAGCCACTTCACCGTTTCCCATACACCACCATACAAACAATAACAACAACCACCATTCACCACTAAGTAGCAGTGATATCACCATCGCAATGTTGGCAGGATATGTGCAGTTCGATCTGCACAGATGGGTTCACAAACCCGCTTCCTGTACTGTCGTGTGGCGTGTTTAGTTTGTTGTCCTTCCCCAGCACAGTTGGCTACGTACGGTGCGAAATAAGTGAAACATATCCACACGGCGGTTTTTATTTGTTTGTTTTAAATATCGGTGCGACACGCAAAACCTTTGCCTTCCGAAAGCGTTAGTGTGCAATGCGGTTGCACAGCACAATACAATTCGTGGACAGCATCTAACACGACGCGTACAGCAGAGTCTACGCTAACTCATTCGGCTTCTGCCTTACGTTGTTGTTTTTTTCTGCAGCTGGGCCCTTACCACTGGATGAGCTGTGCCGACGCTCGATAAGAAATTGTCTTGGAAATGACCGTCTGGAAGAGATCAATGCTCTTCCCCTACCGACTCTCATCAAGAGATACCTGCACTACAATTGAGTCACCTTGACTCGTACCTTGCCGTGCTCCTCTGCATATTTTGAGCAGAAAGTCCCAAGTTTAGGGGATCATCGCATTTCATGAAAGCTGCGGCATCGTACCAGACCGTACCTTCGTAGCATTACGTTTGTGCAGAAGTGCACATCCATAAAGATCAGACTTTGGACAGAAACCTTGGACAGCTCCATAATATTATTGGTTCTTTCGGTAAAGGCACGTAGAAGGGAAACAATAAAATAATAAAAATATAAAACAATAAAATTCTCACGACGCTTCGACTGCAACACAAGCAATCATCATTGGGTGTGAAAACCACAGTAATGTTCGACAAAGTTAACCATTATGCATTATCTTTACGCATGAACTTTCCACGATATTGTCAGTGTTTTGGTGAAACAAGGCTAAGAAAAGTACCACATTGTGAAGTGAAATGCTGTAAATGTTATCTTGAAAAATTAGTTATTGTGCTGGCCACAAAACTCGACTTGCATAGAGTGCTTGTATTTAGTATATAGTGTATTTTATATTTATACCTGAAGCAGAAAGTTATTTGTATTAGATTGGCGCCTTGGACACAGACGTTAAATGTACTTAACGTGTAGTGGTCGCACAACGCTTTTTTGCTAAAACGTGGTTTTACCCATTCGGGAGCACTTTTCACACGATGTGGAACGCACACCGTTAGAACGTGGAACGTGCACCGACATAACGTAGAACACACCCGTTATTACGCAGAACGCATCACGTTATAATGCGGAACACACCCGTTAAGACACGGAACGCTCGCCTTAACGCCGAACACGCCACATCGTGATGCGGTTTAAAACTATTTTCTCGAGCTGCATTGGTGATCGGTACGAGAGAGTACGCGGAGTGATAGGGTAAAGCGGTGGCGAACTCTCACTTCTTTGTTCCACCATCTCACTGTGTGTGTGTACATCGTATCTCACCAAACGTTATCGTTACATTATTTGTGAGAAAAATAATTCGCTTAACGTGGCACTTGTAAGGAATGCATCTACCGCATTAAACGAGGGCTTACTCTAAGCCTTCACACTGGTCAAATCCTTTCATACAATGTCTCAAAATTGGCTTCATCTCTCCGATGCTCACATCTGGTGACCCCAATTAAACCTGACATCTATTGGCCAATTTCTCTTCTTCCAGTGGCGAGTAAAATACTGAAGAAGATTGCAGAGAAGGGATATTTTGACTCCTCTGATCTCCAGCAAGTATCTGACAACCAGTTCGAGTTTCATAAGTTTCACTTTACACATTTCTGCAGGGAGTCAATCAGTGCGGGTCAGGTAGCAGGTGCTGTCACTGTGGACCTCATTCTATTCTGCGAGGCACACTTCAAAAGTTTGTTTCAATTCAGCTTTCAGTCGGTACATTTGATACATTAGCACTTGTTTTGAAAAAAAATCCGTGTGGTCACGTCTGACCAATTTCTTCCTGGGTATGGCTCAGTGATTGGTTCTCTGGCAATTATTGCTGTATTGCACAGCTGTTCGGGCACAATGTGTGGTGAAGACATCACCATCTATGCGAGTATATCCATCAAGGCCGTAGCCATGGAGTCAACATTGGGGGGGGGGCAAATGTTCCAGGGGGTCTGGGGGTCCCAACCCAGAAAAGATATAAATTTAAAAACTCATTTCCTGCCATTTCCTGCCTAAAATATAAAAAAAAATCAAATCACTAGTGCATGGAATGGACTTTTTATTTATTTTTTACAATAATGTCTAATAGTGTATTGTATTACATTGCTCTGTTTTTACTTTTTTTTACCATTTCTTGTTTCATTGTATGTAATGGCAGAGATTTGGGATGAATAAAGTACAACCATAACCACAATCATATAAACATAAATCTGTGCGTTGATTTATATGAAGACAAGTCCAGATATTGTCGGCAAGGTTTTGCAAATTGTTGTTTTTATTTGCATAGTGACATCGCGGACGTCACTGTGTGGTGCCGGCCCTAGAGACACGGCGTGCGATGTACTCACATCACGGACATCACGTGTGTAGTGACATCGTGGATGTCACTGGGTAATGCCGGCTCTCGCGAGAGACACGGCGTGCGATGTACTCACATCACGGACATCACGTGTGTAGTGACATCGTGGATGTCACTGGGTAATGCCGGCTCTCGCGAGAGACACGGCGTGCGATGTACTCACATCACGGACATCACGTGTGTGGCGACATCGTGGATGTCACTGGGTAATGCCGGCTCTCTCGAGAGACACGGCGTGCGATGTACTCACATCACGGACATCACGTGTGTAGTGACATCGTGGATGTTACTGGGTAATGCCGGCTCTCGCGAGAGACACGGCGTGCGATGTACTCACATCACGGACATCACGTGTGTGGCGACATCGTGGATGTCACTGGGTAATGCCGGCTCTCGCGAGAGACACGGCGTGCGATGTACTCACATCACGGACATCACGTATATGTGGGTGTAGTACCAGCCCTAGAGGGGCTCGGTGAGCGCTGATGGAGAGCGCCGAGTGGCACCACGCTCGCCGTGCAGTGCTAACCCCTATAGGAGGGTGGTGTGAGAGTGCCGGCCATGAATGGGGTTAATGAAGGCCATGGCACTCTGGTTGACCCTGGAAGGCACGTGACGGGCAAGATCTACACAGATGCCCCAAGTGGGGGGGGGGGGTAGGGGTGGTCACGTGTCGGGCCAGATCCTGTTAGAGGATTCGAGAAGGTGGTCGTGGCCAAGGGCGGAGCCAGCCACGGCAAGTGAGGATATAAACCGGGTTCCCAGAGGGACCAGGGTTCAGCGCTCTGTGTTATCCTGAAGATCTACGTTCTACGTTCGACATCCGAGAAGAGTCACCAACACGTGGACCTGGACCCAAGCCGGGGTCCTGTCCGTTGTAGCTACTCCCAGTGTAATTAGTGTAGTGTAGCCTGGTGGTCCACCACCATAGGTTGTTATCTGGTAAAGGGGCAGTTACCTCTTTGTGTTGATATCAATAAATGTGTCGCCTCCAAGGAGTAGGTCTGCAACTCAGTTGAACTCACTGCGTAATTATAACTTGTTATCTTGAGGTATGACCGACTATATTACCTGGAATCCACCCAATACCATCAGATCTCAGAAGCTAAGCAGGTTTTGAGTCTGAAGATTGCTTGGATGGGTGGCCACCATGTCTTAAAGATGGTGTTATAGGCTGCGTGGCTACATTGTGGGCAGTCTATTTGTTTAGTGTATGATGCATAAAACTTATCATTATTGCTGTACTTTATTTTAGTTCGATACTTTAGCTTATTCGTTTTGCTTGTCATTTTGGCGACCCAGGTAACTCTTGCGAATTAGATTTTCGTAGTCTACTGACTTCTCACCTAAACGAACAAGATAAACTTCAAACTTTTATTAAGCATAAAAAATCCACACCGCACTGAGATGAAACGGCTACTTTTTACATCAAAATCCAACGGTTTATACAGTACATTACATCTTGTAAACATGTTACATCCAGTATGTTAAATACACACGCACAGCACGTGTACAGTATACAATTGCCACATATAGCTTATAAACATTGTACTATTATCAATGCAATACAAAATTGTGTTGATAGTGGTGCACAAGGACATATAACAACAGGAAGGGGCCACAGCCTGAGATTACCTCTCTGCTTTGAACAATAACAGAAAACTCAACATGTTCGTAAATGACACGGCCGTTAAAAAAAAACGCGTGTAGGCAACGTATTTGGACGAAGGCATTCCTTCAACAACAGCACATAGATATAGATGTAGTAGAGAGGTATAGACTGCACACCACTGCCAATGCAGTATCACCAAATAATCTCTGCTATGATGAAGGGACGTTGCCCAAAATGTGTTCTGATTATATATGTCGTTCGCCTCTTTAGGGCTGTGTTATTGGCAAATGTGTTTAGTTAGTGTGACTCTAAATATCAGTCTGGAGCGCCTGCTTCACTGATCGCTTGTGGTTTAGTGTCTCTGGCCTTATTTGTAACAGATAACGAACTTACTAATTTTCACATTCTATCTCAGGATACAGAGGAAATCATTTAAGCTCAGAGAACCAAATGAAGGCATCCGAATAATACAAGTTAATCAGGGCACGCAGCAGCTGTAAAGGCAATTACATTTCCTTGTAAGGTCGACATTCACAGATTTTTTTTTAAAGAGCGCTGTTGTGAGAAAGAACAAGACACACTAACAAACCGTGCATTCCAGGCTTAAGCACGTCCATACACAAAACATATGGTCAGTCTACATAGCTGGGTAACCGGCTAGAGAAAACGTCAACTCCACTTTGTGTTACAATGTCGTCGCTAATTTGGCGTAAAAAATGTCAAATTTCTCACGCAGCACAACTAGGAGCTGTTTATACATACATAGTACATTTTAACACGTAGGCTTTCGCTACCGATATTCATAATAAATGTTTTTTTTAGGCAGATCGCGCAAGTAGAAATGTGTCGTTAAACCCGCTGAAACATCGTACTCGAATTATAAATGTTGTAGGTTTACTCTCCAGCACACCGGGAGGCTGAAGTAGTAACTGATTGGCACGTTTCGTTCACCTGACAAACCTTACTAATTGGTGTGTCGGGGAAAAGTGCTTAATATGCAGGTAAACCAAAAGTCTAGAGTCGTTGTTTTTCTTCATTGTAGAAGTCAGAGTTTAGCAGGACACCTTACAGAGGCTTCGTTTTCGCAGATGCCACAGCTGGCTGACATCTGATTTTGTTGAAGCTCTCCTACGTATCACAGCAGCTGAGATGACTGCCAATAAGTAAGATGCACCGGAGACAGTGCCCAGACGATTAGCATGTTATAGGAGACAAATGGAATACACAGATTTATTTAGTAATGGGTTAACACGTAGGTTTTTGCAACCAATTTCATCCATCATACAGTTTTTTTGTGTTAGATCGGTGTGTTGTACTCGTAACGAATTGGCACGTTGTGTTTACATGACAAAGCTTACTAATTTCCTGTGTCGGGTGGTGGCGGGTTTAATGACACATTTATATATAAGAAAAATCTGTATTACGAATGGTGGAATGGTCAGCAATAGTGATGGAGTGGTAGCCAGGAGGTTTCATCAACCGGGGAGATGGATCGTTGAAATCAGCTCGCGTGCATGTGCTAGGTCAGAGTTCTTCACTCATTTTCAGAGGGACGGGGGGTGGCACTTTCGCCGATAAGACATCATCAGTGTTGAGGGCCGCCACATGTGAAACCATTGGGATTTGTGCCAGCAGCACGATGATGGGGGGGGGTGTCACGTGTTGTGTTTTGTCTGGGGACCGCACGTCAGGGGCCGCATTAGAGGCCACCAGTGGCCTGAGGGCCACCAGTGGCCTGAGGGCCTTGCAACGAAGAACCCCGCTCTCGTGACATAATATGACAATGCATACATTATCGTGACATTGTATGACAATGCATACATTATCGTGAGATTGTATGACAATGCATACATTATCGTGAGATTGTATGACAAAGCATACATTATCGTGACATTGTATGACAATGCATATATTATCGTGACATTGTATGACAATGCATATATTATCGTGAGATTGTATGACAAAGCATACATTATCGTGACATTGTATGACAATGCATACATTATCGTGAGATTGTATGACAATGCATATATATTATCGTGAGATTGTATGACAATGCATATATTATCGTGAGATTGTATGACAATGCATATATTATCGTGAGATTGTATGACAAAGCATATATTATCAGAGTATGTTTTTGTTTGCATTCTGACCACAAGTATTGTGGTTAATGCAGACATGATTCCTTGTAAAAGGTTTCAGTTTGGTGTTTTCACATCTTAACACAACCTGTTTTATTGCCTCATGGAGATCCCATGAGGCAAACTCTAGGATGAGGTTTTTTGTTGTTAATATGCGTAAATATAGATGTGTCGTGAAACCTGCCACCACCCGACAAAGCCAATTGGTAAAGTTTGTCACGTAAACAAAACATTCCAATTCAGGACAGCGCACCGGTGTGTTGGAGAGTCAACTCACAACATTTACAATTCGATTACAAAGTTTCGCCAGTAATTACAACAAGCATCATCAGGTGATAGCCCGATTTGTGGAGAAATCCTCCACGCAAGAAAAACGTCAGGATGTACCAGCGCAATATTATTATTAATATCATGCATACACATTATGCACGCGTGCATAATATATGTTGATTACACCATGAATAACCCAATCGGTAATGCATTCCCATTATAATTGATATGCACTCATTAACACCCCCACCCCACCCCCCACCTCTGACTTTCGCACCTGATTGGCTCACAGGTGATGACATCACACCTGATGATGCCGGTTGCAATTGCTGGCGAAACGTCGTACTCGAATTGTGAATATTGTGGGTTTAATCTCCAACACACACCCAGGGTGTTGCTGTACTAGCAACGAATTGGCACGTTGTGTTTTACGTGACAAACCTTAACAATTGGCTGTGTCGGGTGGTGGCGGGTTTAACGACACATTTAGATTTACGCGATCTAACCCCCCCCCCAAAAAAAAAAGACCTGTTATGGATAGCATTGGTTTGCGAAAGCCATCTACGTGTTAAACCCCTAAAGGTGAAACGACACAAAACTTGCTACAACAACAAAACATTCCCTCTGATCTGGCACGACCAACGAGCCAGGGGCGGGACTTGACGGCAACAAAGGGCGTGTCCTAAACGCATTGACCGCGCCCACTTTTTTTACCGCGTCCACCAATCGGAGTGCGCGCCTGCCGGCCACGTGGTACCTCTGGGCGGAAGGGGGCCCCTCGTGTCGGGAGCGAGAAGGGTGGCCTCGTCGCCAAGCTGACGATTTGTAGCGCGCGAGGTTATCGCGATTATCGCGGCATTCACCACGAACTTTGATTGCTATGCTTGTGTAAACTCACGTAATGGATCTCCAGCCCCTGCCGTCCATCGTTCACTAAGAGGTACGCTCGTAGCGGCGTCGAATGCGGCGTTTTTTTGAGGAGGAATTTGCCACTTTGCGTGGCCCGCGTCTTGGTTGAGAGGCCCTCTGCTTTCGGGGGTCTCCGTTGTGAACGGGAGTACCATTTTAATGTGGTGGTCGTGGTGACGGTGGTGATGTTCGTCTTGAACCACGTAAAACACACGGCAATCACTGTGGCACAATGACACCGCGTGTTTCTGTTTGTGTGAGGTCGACTAAGCCTCCAATGAGTACCTGGTGCGGTGTGTAGTAAACATCGCCACCGGGGAGACAAAGGCGGCCGGGCGTGGTGCTGGCCACTCACCCACCTCGTGTGCCGTGCCGGCCTTCATAGGTGCTACTCGCTAACAGCACTTGCCCCGACATTCTTTGTGGGGGAGCGGTGGTGGAGCGGTTGTCGCGCTGCGCTCCGAACCCGGCGACCCGGATTCGATTCTCGCTCACGTCCAACACCGGTGACGATTATCTGAACCGTTCCTGGGCCTCCCCTAGGTCGACTCGGCCTCAAATTACTACTTGGTGCGGTGTGTAAACATCGTCACTGGGGAGACAAAGGCGGCCGGGCGTGGTGTTGGCCACTCACCCCCTTCGTGTGCCGTGCCGGCCTTCATAGGTGTTCACTCATAGCACTTGACCCTACTGTCTGGTAAAGACTAAATGAGGGCTGTGGTATTTTATGTGTTGGTGTGTGTGTTGGTGTATGTGTGTTGGTGTATGTGTGTTGGTGTATGTGTGTTGGTGTGTGTGTGTGTTTGGGTGTGTATGTGTGTTGGTGTGTGTTGGTGTGTGTGTATGTGTTGGTGTATGTGTTGGTGTGTGTGTTGGTGTGTGTGTGTGTTGGTGTGTTGGTGTTGGTGTGTATGTGTTGGTGTGTATGTGTTGGTGTGTATGTGTTGGTGTGTATGTGTTGGTGTGTATGTGTTGGTGTGTATGTGTTGGTGTGTATGTGTTGGTGTGTATGTGTTGGTGTGTGTTTATGTGCCGAGTGCCTCTGCGTGGCCGTCTTTTCGTGTTTGTTCTCGGTGTGGGTAGTACATACAGTACGTGTATGTCAATGTGTCTGTATAGGGAGCGGTGGATGAGTGGTTAGCGCACCAATGAACAATTATATGAAGCAGTCTAGGGCCTCCCCTCGGTCGACTCATCCTCCAAATGAGTACCTGGTGCGGACTTCATAGATGCTCTGTAACAGCACTTGCCCCAACATTTGTTTTGAATGTGTGGCCGGATGTGGAACTTGAGCCATGAATTCTTACATGCGATTTCCAGAATGAGATCCACCCCCCCCCCCCTCCATGCTGCACATAGCACAGCTGTTAATTGTCAAACATTGGTCATATTTTGTACAGTCCTGCGAGATCATTGTTACCGTGTCTCCCTCGTAAAGTACATTTTGTCCCAATTGACTTTCACCTGCTTGTAAATAAAGTTTGTATTGTTTTGAATGTGGTTCGACCAGCATATAAGGATTTGGGCCGCTCGGCTCTGGTAAAAACAGTTCTATAATATGCACTGGTTTACCATGGACTATATATACACATTGGCGTCTACTTCCTGAATATACTGCCATACGCCAGAGTTGAACGGCGATATGCTGTCAGTCAATACAAAACACTTGCAATGTGAGATGTTGCGTCTCGAGGCAACGAATGAAGGATTGGTAGGGCAGTGTGAGACATGAAAGGCTTACATTAAAAACATGCGTGTAATATCAAGAATCAGAATCTTTATTTTCACTGGAGGAATCCGATGAGCTATGAAGCTCTTTTTCACAGATGTCCAGTATGGGCGGGTCAGCAAGTTTAAATCACAAACAATAACAACTATAGGAGTGAAAAATTGCGAAAAAGCTAAGCGAGTCACTAACAAAAGCTTTGGCAAGGCCGCAGAAGCAACTAGAAAGCAGTCCCAGACCACACCAGGATAACACAGTCCCTCAATACAATATGCGGTATTGGATTGGGGCAGTCAATAAAAAATTGAGAGGAGGAAGGGGTGCAGAATGAACGATGTGAACAAGGGAAGGGAGTTCCAGTCGACAAGGGGATAGCGGAGAAGAAAAGTAAGCACCCATTGAGCAGGGATCATTATTATCCCTTCCCCCCACCTCTACCTATAACTTGCTCTGTTGAACTAAATTTTGGCCACTCTTTTGCATAAGTTCAAATTGCAGTTTTTTTATCGACAGAAGACCTTGGTTATTGTCATTTGAAACCAGGGCCACGGGGAAGGAGAGTAGAGAAATTAGATGGGAGTAGGTAGGCAGTCACAAAGCCATGATGGCCTTTAAATACTTTACTGTATAAATATTATGTTGTAAATACCAGCACTGGCCCTGGAAACCATTTTTAAGTCTTAAAATGCAATGGAGGCACTGAAGCAATTCACTGAGCATGAACCATTGCCTGGCAAACTTATCTGGATATAGGTGCTGTTCAGCCAGCAATATGTTAGAACAAGACTTGTTATCATCATTCCTCTAGGAGAGATAACATCAGCACTTTATGATGCTGCGGTTATTAGGTATAACTTGAGAGCTCATTGAAACTATAAGAATATTTTGAGAGGGACGCTTTGTCAGAAGGTCAGTCTCGCCATTATGTTACGGAAGGACAAGTCCCATTGTAGAAATGTGAAATTCCCACCAGTGGCTCGTAGCCTCGGATAGCAGACGGCTCTCACCACTGCTAATAGTGTTTGTCATTGTATAGCCCTTTTGTCAATTCACGACTGGATGAGAGCCCATGCCTGGTGGGTCGTTGGGGCTTCTGTGATCACACTTCACCAGGCAGGTCAGTGTGAGTTGTTGAAGGTAATGAGCAGAGATTTTGGAGCTTTAGAAGTACAGTACAACAATTATTTTTTCTACATTGCTCTCTGCTGCCCACAAAATATCCCAGAAGCATTACAAGACATGTGCTATACATGGTGGTTACCCATACAGACACTATCCAAGCTCAGCTCTGATTAGCTTTTGAGATATAATGAGATTGGCTGCATTCTGGGCGATTTTGGAATAGACACAGATAAGTACACCGATGGGAACGGCTTTATTGGAACGTAGCAAAAAACAGTACGCCACTCTCTCATTGTAACCCGTTTCTTCTCTCCGTTAATATTTTCTTCCAATGTTTCCCCCCCCCCCCCCCCCCCCCCCCCCCTTTCTCAGTTTAACCGACCGCAAGACCCTTCGACTATGTTCACACCGTCTGGCAAGCCAGCGCGGGGCCCCACTCTGATCCCGCGGATGAAGAGCAAGCACAGGATGTACTACGTCGCCCTCTTCTCGCTGCTGCTGCTCGGGCTCCTCTCCACGGGCATCCTGCAGTTCTGGCCGCGGCGCGGCGGGGAGGCCGAGGGCCGCACCGCGGCCGAGCAGCGCGACATCAACGAGGTTCCCGTCATTGGCCTCGGTGACTACAGCCCCATCCCGGAGCGCGGAGACCTCAGCTGCCGCATGCACACGTGCTTCGACGTCTACCGGTGAGCGTCCTGGGCCGTGGCGGTCACATTGATGTTATTGCAAAAAAAAGGAATCTTATTTTTGTTGTATGAACATCTTATCACCTGTTTTATTGCCAGAGAGGGTAAAACAAAAAAAAACTGTAATTTTTTTCATCATTTTGATACAGAAACAAACAAGGTCCCATAGATGTTATTGTTATTTGTCACCATCCCGTCATCGTCGGGGGATGGTGCCGTGTCGTAACGCACTCTCAGCATCCTGCGGATCACTCCTACTTTATCGCACGTGGATGTCGTCATATGGATGACTCGCATATGCATTGAGCAATGCGGAGCTTGTTTACCTGCTCCACTTCCAGTGTCAGCCAGGGAGAAACACACATAATCCTTTGCCCCCCTTGCATAAGCATGCCATCTGCTTTTTGATGCTGCCATGGTGTAATAGTTAACAGTCAGCTTGTTGTCCAGTGATGCATCGGTTAGATTTGATCTCCCCACGGCATTTTAAACCGTGGGCATGTTTCTTCAATCCCTCCGCCTCCCTCCATCCAGCAGTATAAATGGGTACACCATGGTTGATGACTAGGTCGTGTGTGGTGGGGTGAAGTGTAGGTACACGCCACTGCTGTCACGCCAGCAGTGGTGCGAGTAGGTCTTCACCTTTATTTCATAACCATAAACAGTATTGCCACCACTGCTGTTTTCATCGTCGTCAACATTATTATGGCACTGTTTAACATCTGCATTGCATGTGAATTTGACACTTGGCTTCTGACCTGATGGTGATGTGGTTTAATCGCTTGGCGCAGTTGGAAGGTTCATGCGACAGGCGCGTGAAAGATGGTGACAGCTCCGCAGCTGCTGGCTGCAGTCCCGTGCCCCTCCCACTGTTTATCTACTATTACCACACCTCGTACCTTACCCACGTCTTTCTTCACTATCCCCTGCTCTTCTTGTTACATTAATCTTTCACTACATCTTCTTTCTTATTATTTATTTTGTTTTATTCTTTTCCTCATTATTACTTTGGTGGCACCCGGGTTTTGGGCGGTGGCAGAACCCTGCCTCCAACCCCGCCTGCCTCCGCGCGCACTGCACATGCCCCGCAGAGTGCTGCAAAAGCTGATAAATGCCGGCTGCGGTGTTACACAGCCCGGCTGACCTGCCGCCTCGCGCAGCTGAGGGGCTGTGCGGGTGAACGAGGCCGGCTGCTCCCACGCACGAGGCTGGAGGACGATGGCAGCACTGTTTTCTGCCAGCGACGTCCTCACAAGGCACCTCTTCCGCCTCTATCAGTGAGTGGGAGCTTGGAGTGCCTCAGCATCGCCAGCAAGTGGGAGCTCGACGTGTTCCATTCACTGCTCAACACCACCAGCAATTGGGGTGTGACGCAGATTGTCCACCGCTCAACACGAGAGAGTGGGTTTGCCTGCTGCCCAGCACCACCAGCGAATGGGAGCTCGGCGAGGTTTGTCCACCCTGCTGCATCACCTGCAAGCTGGGGCACAGCGCGTGGTCAGCTACTCCATGGGACCTCGTGTTCTTCTGGCCACTCCATCGTACGTGCCGCGTGCGTGGTCGTGTCCGCACGCGTACGTGCTCAAGTGTTTACGTAGGCGTGTACGCACACCCTAGGTAGTGGTGGCCAAGACACGGCGTGTGTCTTGGCCACCACTAACTGGACTTGCTTCTCCGGGCAGCACAGCCGCCGATCGGACTCCACCCGAATCCTGGCCCCCCCAACACCACCACCCGTACAGCATGGGCTGATATAATAGGGCTTCGACATGCACCATTTCTTCATCACCTGCACCTGGAATCCGCGCTCCTGAGGACGCTCTCTGGCTTCGGACTTCTTCGCGGTCAACGTCAGAGACTGCATTGGCACCGTGGTTGCAGAGGCGGTAGGGGCCGCTGGTCACAGGTCAACCTTCAACCAGCTATTTCCTCTGATCTCTTGACGCAGCACCTCTTCGGATCTTCACATCCACCTTTACCCATCCGCCTCGGCCTACTCAACTCACGCTCCATTACCGACAAATCAGCCTGCTTTCACGATAGCAGCTCGGACCACCACATCGACCTTTTGCTTATTACCAAGACCTGGTGCAGGCCAGACTCCCCCACCAGCCATCTCTTTGGAAGTTGCGCCCCTGGGATACAAGGTTCTTCACAAACCTCGCGCAACTAACCAGCGGGGTGGTGGCTTAGCTTTTGTCTATAATGCTGACTTTTAAAGAGCTCTTATCTACCGATGGCTCCCGCCACCTTTGATTTCCAGTCCGTATCCCTCACTACTAACACCGAGTGCTTTTCCCTCATTTCCATCCATCGCCCTCCAGATGGCAGCATCACTACCTTCTTAAACGAGCTTTCCGAATTTCTTTACCTCATTCCTAACCCATCTCACAGACTCGTGCTTACTGGAGACTTTAACTGCCCCGTCAATACTCCAGCCTCCATTGATAGCCACCTCGAGTCAACCTTGGCCTGCCATAACCTGGTCATCACCAACTCAGGCCCCACCAGAGATTCCTAAACTTTTGAGAGTATGCTCGACCTGATTCTGGAACCTGACCTGGATCGTCGCATCTCTCCACTGCGAGTTTTCCAAACTGGTTACTCCGACCACCACCTCATCCTATTTTCCCTCCAAATTCCAAAGCCAATCAACATCAAAACCTCGATTTAAAGCTTTCGTGACTGCAGGGATTCATCTTCTTGGTTCTTTCGGTAAAGTCACGTAGAAGGGAAATAAAATAATAAAAATGAAACATAATAAAATAAAATTCTCACGACGTTTCGGCCACAACACAAGTGGCCTTCTTCAGGTGAAGAAACAGGTCTGTCCAGAAGACAGAGCTTGAATGAACACTGTCAAGCAAGGACCCCGTCTTTTAAGCTGTGTGGGCAGAGTTAACATATGAATCAGCATGTTACCAGCCCCACCTCTGGAGCGGAGGAGGGGGGCTGGGAACACAGAAAAATAAGAGAAACAGCCAAGGTGCGCTGCTGTGTCCTGTGTTGCATTATGACTATGCTATAAACTGGACTACTATACAATATTATACCTTCCAATCTAAACTACATGGTATAACATCACATCCGTATACAAATTCCACCTTTGAATTATACAATGCGTTACTTTACACTACCCTATACTTTAGACTATAAAATATTAGACTTGTAACATTACATTGTCTTATTCTATGAACCCAACTATATACCACACTTCTGTATATTCACTATGCAATTACGATGCTATATATTGCCTTATGAATTATGTTAAACATTACAATGTTATACTATTTATTATTATACCACATGTTATAAACCATACCATTAACCGTGGTGTGAGAGGTATTAAGAGGCAATGCCTCTCTGCAAGCCATCCGGCTACCATGAGAGATTTGTTCATGAGGCCATCCACATATACAAACACAGAGACAATTTCAACCGAGAAGATGGATTCTGACTTAGTAACCATTGGAAAGATGTTATAAACCATTTCGGTTCTTAATTGATTGTATTTTACGGTGACCTTCAGACCGCAGTCCATTCGCTGGCATTGCCTCTTAATACCTCTCACACCACGGTTAATTGTATCGTTTATAACATGTCCGCACATCACCTCCTCCCCAAACGACTGCTCCTTCCAGTCAGCTTATCGTCAAAACCACTCCACAGAAACAGCACTCACCAGAGTCCTCGATGACATTTTAATGATTATTGACTCTGGCTCCATCCTTGCTCTTGTAAGTCTGGACATCTAGATTAGTCTGGACATTTCATCAGCTTTTGACACTGTCAACCACTTGCTCCTTACTTTCCTCCTGAAATCCGACTTCGGTATATGTGGCTCAGCATTCAAGTGGATACTGTCGTACCTTCCTGATCGGCAATCCTCAGGATGGGCTCGTCCACGTCTGCTGAAACAAAAGCGTTATGTGGCGTCCACCAGGGCTCCGTCCCAGTCCCTTGCTGTCTACACTTTCCCAATCGGCCGCCTCATCGCAAGCTTCGGTATCAAGCACCACTCATATGCGGACGACACTATCCTTTTCACCGCTATCAATTCTCCCAATGCGTCTGGATTTGAGCGGCTCTCGGAATGCATCACTGCCCTGCAACAGTGGTTCTCCGCACACAACCTTGCCCTTAATCCGTCAAAGTCAGTGGCCATCATATTAGGTACCAACTCATCTGCGCTCCCAACACACATACACATCTTTGGTCACAGCATCAGGTTCACCGATCACTTCAGCTACCTCGGTGTCATCCTAGATTCAACTTTATCCTTCGACCGCCAAACCAATCATATCATCAGTTTATGTAACTTTCACCTGAAGGTTCTCAGACACCTACGTCCTCTCATCGCCACTGAAACTGCCAACACATTGGCATGTTGCATAGTTGGGTCTCGCCTCGACTATCGCAACTCCGTCGTAGTCCGGTCCTCCTCTGGCAACCTCAAAAAACTTCAAAGACTACAAAACGACCTGGCATGCGTCGTCATTGGCCGCACTCATCCCCGTCTCGACTCGCTCGCCTCTCTCTCCGTGCTCTCCACTGGCTACCCATTGCCAGCAGGGCCACATACAAGATCGCCTGCCTCTGCCACCATTCCTTCACATCTGCCTACCTCTCTTCATTATTGACGAATTACAGCACACGGCAGATGCCTTCGCAGCGCGACTCACGACCTCCTCTTGATACCGAGATCCAGGATGGTCACGTCTATGCGCCGCTTCTCGGTGGCTGCCCCAACAGTCTGGAGCGCCATCACCCCTCTGCACATTCGCAGCATCACCTCAATCGTCGCATTCAAGAGACACTTTAAAAACTCACCTCCACAACCACGCCTCTGAGTTATGGCCGTTACATTTGCAAATTTGCGCGCGTTATTAATTGCATTATTATTATGCACATTCCTTTCGTCATTCAACTGCTGTCTGAGGGTCTCCTGACGCTGTGCGGATAGTGGGTGTTATTTGACCATACTTCACGATGGTGGTCAGTGTGGGTTAGTAAAGGGAGATGGAGCATAGACACGGGAGCATTGAAGTACAACACAGCATGGATTTTTCTGCCATAGTGTATCCCTAGAGCAATCTACGACATGCACTGTCATTTTTGTTTGGTTGATGAAATGTGTGTAATTTTATGATAAGTCAATAATTAGCTAAGCCCAATGCTCATTAGAGTGCACTTTCAAATGTTGCAATTGTCATCACCTTCATAATTGCAATCATTATTTTCACTATGGGACTGCACGTCACAGTTCTGTACTTGCTATTTCTAGATATGGTCAGTTGGCGTGTGAGAAAAAAGTGTCGTGAATAAACTCTGAAAAGAGGATTTAGGCAGGCTGGATAGTGCATGGAATGTTCATATAGTTTTGGACAAGGTTCTGCTTTAACATCTTATGAGCGAATCAGAGCCTCTCACAGCTTGGTGACCCACTAACGCCCTACCGAGACATCTGTTTATATCTACACAAGAGGACAAATGTGTGGTCTTGTGGTCTTCCATTGGCAGTACCCATAATAAAAGGATGCTTTGTGCATGAGACCTCGGTGTTGTCCACGGTCTCCTTTTCAGTTCAGTCATAATTTTAGCTCAACCACACTTGCATACGGATGCAGCCAGGTAGCTCTTGCGTTAAAACACTAACCTGGGGCACTGCCAAGGTTAAAACACTAACCTGGGGCACTGCCAAGGCTTTCATCCAGAGAGTGACATGCCATTCAACCAGAGTCTTACGTTGTAAATTGATATGTTAGCTTGTTTATCAAAGATTGTGTGCAAAATGTGGCATCAGCTTTGTGGTTTCTGGAAAAAAAAACAATTTAGGGTTGACTACCATGAGATGGAAATCTGTGTATCAGGGCGTCTAGAAGAGTACAATTTTGCAATCCTGGTGTGTGGGTAAAAGTCACCGGTGACGTCATCGCCTTTGCCGAAACGGCTGTCATAGTTCACGCTGATCGTTTATTATCAAGTTTTGGTTGAACCTACGTGGTTGGTTCTTGGATTGGGTAATTCTCGAACAGTAAATTGAACTTGATACTAAAATTTTTATTTGCAATGGATCATCTTCACGAGAGTTATCGTGGCCCTATTCTACAGACAGAGACGCGTGGAGCGAATGCATTCTTTGGAAAGTGATAACAAAAAAGTTAGGCATAGGTTTTCGAGCTCTTGCATAACGCATTTCAAATGATTGTATCCGGTTTGTTGGAGTTTGTTTCCAACTTGTAATCGCTATTATATATAGTGGGAGGTGTGTGGCTGCTTTTCGCTAATTATTTCCTTTCAAGATCACACATGCAAACCTGAAAAACCTCAGCTGACTCATTTGGTTTTTAGGTGTGGAGGTCTCCTTGGCCGTATGCCAGACACCCCCTTGCCAAGGATTTGTCCAATGTATTGCTGGCGTGGTAAATATAGTTCATAATACATTTGATGTCGATTGTAAACTGGACAAGCATTGAATTACTTGCACTGGTGTGACCTGTTGTGCACAGTATTGAAAAGCCATTCCTGCTCATTTATGTAATTGAGATTGCCATCAGTTTATTGAACCGTCCTTGAGTTAATTCAAGTGAGTGCCCTCTATTACCGAAGCGACATCAACATCTCAATGAGCATTGCTTCTAATTAAAGATGCTCATCGATTAACATCACTTTTCAGGAAATAGAGTGTCGGTAAATGGATAGTGGGAAACGTGCGTGTGTGTGTGTGCACGTTTTGCTGGCCACCTCGTGTGACGTGCTGCCCTTCATAGGTGCTCGCTTAACAGCACTTGCCCCAATAGTGTGTTAAGGCTATACGGGTGGGTTCTTTTTTCTTTGTTGCATGAAGGCATAGACGAGAGTAGAGCAAGTGGAGTTGAAGGGCAAGGAGTCTTTTTTTTTGCATTCCCAGTACTGTACTTCGTATGTCGAATTATGCCCCTTTATTGTGGTGAAGCAATTACGGTACACTGCGTTACGAACCTGGCAACGAGGCGTTGGATTAATGACCATGGCGGCTTAACGCCAGTGGCGAGTTTTTGTCTGAACCAGTCTTGTGCTCCCATGCTTCATTCAGCTGCACTATGCAGCAGTGCGAGTTGTGTGGTTAAAACAAAAATCACTCACTGCCTACACTGTGAGGAGGCCAGCATGTGTGGGTATTGTAACTTAAAGGTAGGTCGCGTATACCTTTTTGAAAGCCAAAAAGCATTTTGGCGTCCTCTGGTCTAACACCGTTTGAGACGAGGCTCCAAAGAAAGCTGTCTCTGGTGTGGACCAATCAGTTTCAAAGATAATGCATCATATTATCAGAGTATGTTTTTTGTTTGCATTCTGACCACAAGTATTGTGGTTAATGCAGACATGATTCCTTGTAAAAGGTTTCAGTTTGGTGTTTTAACATCTTAACACCTGCTTTCTTGCCAGAAAAAAGGGGAAAACCTACTCTCACATTTAGTTATTGTAATTGCTGAGCACATAAATATGGGATTTCTTTGTCAGCCTGACCTTAGCTCAGTTGATTCATTTTTTGTTTTTCAAATGTTGTTTTCTGTCCATTATAAGTTTTTGTCTTTTGAATGGAGTTGTTGAATCACAAGGTAAAGTAATCCTCTTATCCTCTCTTTTTCCATAGATAACCAGATAGCAGCAGCTATGAGTGTGGATAATAGGATTTGCTTCAGAACCTTTATTTATCCTGGAGGAATCCGATGAGCAAAAAAGCTCTTTCACAGATGTCCAGTCAGGGGCGGGTCAGCAAGTTACAACAACAACAACCAACTAACAGCGTCCCCAAATCCATGTTAGATCTGTGGTCGGCAACCAAAATGACAAATAGAGCCATTTTCTTCGATTTCGTTAAAAAACGAAGTATTTCGAGCCGCAATGCATGTGAACACATGATGGTCCTTAATGAATAACGTCAAAGCCATGTATTAAGTAATCCCTATTTTAAGAACAGCACATGCACAATGATTTTTAATGCCACGTTGAAAATATTTTTTGGCCTTTTAAATGTTCAGCGTTTATCGAATATAATTAGGAGGGTTTACATTTCTTACTTTGCAACTATAGTGTTGGGAGCTTTGAAGCAGTTCTTAAAGAGCCGCACGCATCTCCGGAAGGAGTTTGAGTGTAATGCCTTTTTTTTGTCTCGCTTGCGGTCTTCAGTTACGGGACGCTCGCTCATTCACCTTTCGCTCGCTATTACAGGTGCGGACACAACGCCCGGAACAAGATCCGGGTGTACATCTACCCACTGGTGCGCTACGTGGACGAGCGGGATGCCACCGTGGCGCACGTGATCTCGCGCGAGTTCAACGACATGCTCGCCGCCGTGTCGGAGAGCGAGTTCTACACGGACGAGCCCAACCGCGCCTGCCTGCTGCTGCCGTCGCTCGACTTCCTCAGCCAGGACCGCCTCAAGGTCAAGGAGATGGCGCAGGTGCTGGCCCAGCTGCCCGGGTGAGTTGAACCTTCTTTTCCTCCCCACTCTACATCCTCGCCATGCTGGAGCAGCTCGGCACAGCTCAGGTGTTCTTTTTGTATCTCCCCCCCCCCCCCACCCCCCCACTGCGGAACTAGAGCCGTGCTGCTGATAGTACACTCGATGAATGAGTCGACACACGTAGATCATGCGGTAACGCAGTGTTAGAGTTGTATGAACTTGCGTAACACGCTATGAACACGTCCTCAGCCCCACCTCTGGCCCTGCTTGTACGGGCCTGCGGAACGCGGTTTGATTTCTGGCGTGGCTCGGCAAATAGACGGTGGAAAAACTGAATCTGGCCGTGAGGGCTCTGCACTGACTTGGCCATTGGAATAGGCGGGTTTAGGTTGAACAGCGAGTAGGGACCAGTCAGTGTGCTCGATGCGAGGCTGGTTTAGTGCAGAGCCAGTGGTTCCATTCCCCACACACGCGTGGTAAATGATACAGGGAATCATTAGAATTGTGCTCACTGCTCTTAGGCGGATGCTCTTAATGATGCGGTATGATATGTAAACGTAGCGCCGTGGAATAGTTCAACCTGAACCCATTGCCTTGTTGAACATTACCTCCAATTAAATTATGTAATGCTAGCAATGCTTGGAGGGCTCAGAGGTCAGGGCACTGAGGTTCCACCGCTGAGATTCTTGGTTTAAACGAAGGCGGCCACCTGCAATTAAAAAGTGGAGAGAGTTGACGGTTTCAGCCTAATTGCCAATGACTGCTTCGCATGGCTCATGACTAATGAGAGAGGGTTCCGGATGGGTCCTTCACCTCGTGGACATGATGCCGATACGACGGTAATGATGACATGGGCTTGAGTTCGCTTCAGTAATTACGCGACCGAACTCTGTACAGTGCACAACGCGGTCCTCGCTTTTACGACACAATTCAATCCTGGGAACCCCATCTTAAATTGGGGGACCCTATTTTCCCATTCACAGTACAAACGGTATAAACATTCCTTGCCGATGTGGTTTTATTTTTATCAGCCATATTTAACAGGGTTTAATAGGTAAAGAAAAATCCGCGCAAAAACACTTTAGAATAGCGAAAGCTCCACGCTCAAGTCACATTGTAAACCAGGCTGACCGTTGAAATGTGTCATGTCAGAAGATGCGATGTAAATCTAATTTCTGTGTCGTAAATGTATGCATGGTGGCATTATATAAGTGTCGTAAATGTGGAACGTCGTGAATCTGACTTTCGAAAGCCAGGCCGCCTGTATATGAATCACAATAATCGATTCTCTGCTCCCACATGCAGTGTGAGATTCAAATGCATATTCCTAGTACCTACTCATTGTCTATGCCTAACGCCTGTGAACGTTATTATAAACCTCAACAGGCTCTCGTGGTTAAATCAAATAAATGATCAAAATGAACCTTACGGCTCTCTCATAATGTCCGTGATGCAGTTATTTTAAGTCTGTTGATGGTCGGCGATAACAGCAATCGAATCATCTCGACGAGCTGTACACGATGCACCGCTACGGTGCGTACGCGAGCGTTCAGGGTTTCAGCGCAATCGTCCTCGCTGTGTTTCGGCATCACGGAGTAGCACTGATTTCGGATTGATTGGTATCCCAGTCGCAGAGTTAAGTACACCCCTGGAAAACACGTGTCCCAGAAATACAATATTTAATTGCCTCTGCCATTTTGTATTAATTGGTACCCCGGGGTACCTCCATGAGAATAAAATAAGTAATGATCCGGAATTTTATCAGGAAAGATCACTCGTTTCGTATTCAGGCGAGATATACAAATATAATACTAGGCCAATTTCTTGTAATTTTATTTAGATGTTTTTTTTTCTCTCCCCCTGGCTTAATAAAATCATTTGGGGTTTGTTCTGAAACGTGTGAATATTTCAATGTAATTCACAGTGAAACCAATCACTTTATAAAGTGCACATCTACTGCCCCCTACTGTTGTGAGCCTCTCATGAAAAATGTGTGTGCTTCCGCACCCCGTGCTGGAATTTTAATAAAATGTCGCATATTCACGGTTATGAACCAGTTTAACCCACGATTCTTCTCTTTCTTTCCTTTTTTAGTTGTTTACCTTTCGTAATCTTTGCCAATTGTATCTCGAGTGTGCTATGGACATCACGCCATGAGACCAAGCACCCGTATGGATCTCCCGCCGAGCAGTGCAACCCTTCGCGTTAACAAATGGCCCATGGATGTAGATACTTGCAGAGCTACCTCTTGAGATCCCTTCAAGACAACTCTGACCCACACAGCAGAGGGCAGCACTCTCCGCGCCGGCAATGTTCTTTAAAAAACAAACGGTGATCCCAGTGGTCGGCGTGGTGGTTCTGGTGCTCTTGAATGGCAGTCCCAGCAGTCTTGAGTGATAGTTACAGCAGCCTGCGTTATAGTTTTGGTGGTCAACTCCAATACCAGCCAACCGCTTCGACCAGATATGCCGCTGAAACTTATTACACAGGAATCCATACCCGCGCATTAGAATGACTGTTGCCGATTTTGTATTCCATGAATGGAAATGTGATTCCCAGGATAATAATCATGATAATCCTCCAGCTCTAATACCTAATCAGGAATATACTGTATTTTTAAAAATGGTCAAAATAAAGTGCCAATTTTTTTCACAGACTTGGCTGTATATGTTATTGCCCTGCCTGGTTGCTCTTTTTGTTAATTTGCGTTTCCTTTTTTCAGATGGAATCGAGGGACAAATCATTTGCTGTTCAACATGCTGCCAGGCAGTGTTCCAGAGTACAACACAGCCTTGGATGTTCCCAGAGACAGGTAATGAACTATAAATGTGCTGCTGCTACTGCTTTGTTCAGAGACTCCAGCTGTACTGATAAGTCAGCGTGGCTACGATCATGGTCCAGCAATGTTCACATCAATGAGCACAATTCTTACCGTGCCTTTCTGAGGGCAGCGCTTTGGGCTGTTTTAATTTACAAACAGCCGTGGACGAAACTCATCCCCTCCGATTAGCACGGATGGCTACGTTCGGTGCGAAATAAGTTATACATACATACGACTAATACCCATAATTGCACCACATCGCCATTGATTCTTTAAAATTGCTAGATCTTGTAGGCCTTGTAAAGTCGACTCCTGATCTCCAAGGTTTGCTCTTACAGGCTTCCTATCATCTGGCTTTAGGTCTACCTCTTGGTCACCAACTTCTGGGTGGCACTGAAATGCCTGTGTGTAACCTGCCCTCCTCCATCCAACACATTGTGTCCCACTCATAGCAAATTCTTTTTTTCTCAGCTATGTGATGGCAGTGAAGATTCATATTTTGGTTTAATGTCATTTCCACGTCACATCTATGCTCGCCGATTTCACCAAATCACACTGATCATCGTGGTGAAGTATGGTCAAGGAACTGCCCATGACCCTCATCCAGCAGTGGATTGACAAAAGGGCTTTACATCATTTAGTGTAAACATTTACACCTGACCTCAAAAGGGTCTGCTCTGGCAGTATACTGCCATCTGAATGTAGGTATTTTCCTTGGTCACCAATGTAATGGAACAAAGTAATGAATCTAAGAATTGTCCTTGCTGCGAGTGCTTTATTTGTTGGCAAGCTGGTGTCTTAGCCGTACTTTATTCAGCAGGGGGCAGTCATGCTCCTAGGTTTGCTAAGCTATAGTACATAATTCCTGTTCATCGTAAATCAGTGGGCCAGTTATTTCCAACAAATATAGAACCATTTGGCCGAGGTCACACTTGAATTAGAACTCATTGACTTTACCTTTAACATGCCCTTCACAAATTCAGTGACTTTTCATAAACACCGTGCAATATTGCGGCAGATTTTTGTTTACGTCCAATTTTTTTCTCAAAATTTCTTTGTCTCATTTACCAACAGTGGAGGCGGGCGGGCTTATTGCCAAAGCGATTGTGTTTGGGCCATTTTTCGCCAATATAGGATTCTGGAACCTGATATGTGTTTGGTATTTGGATGAGTGAGTTACATGCAGCACAATGTTTACACGTGGCCACACACTGAAAGAAACGTGGCACTTAATAACGTGGTTGCTGGCGTAGTTATAAGGTTTATTTTAACTGTTGAAGTGTTCACATCTGTGACAGTTTCTGGATGTTGTTGAATTTATACAAACCTACACGGACGTGCTTTGCCGAACACGTGCTATGTTGTGTGGTAGGCAATGTGCTCTACAGGTGTTTGAAGGAGAATCACGTGACAGGCCTCCAATGATGCAAGTGCACTCACTACTGGAGTGACAGATTTCATTGGTATAGTATTGTGTATGTACACGTCCTGCCATTTGAGAATCCACCGCTGGCTGAGGACCCCTCCTGGACACTGTCCGGGTCATGGGGGGATATTTGGCAGTGTTTCACTATGCCGGACAGCGCGGGATGGAAGAATAGATCGAGGTGCATGGAAATACAGTACAGTGATGGAATTGCAGCACTGCCCTCTGCTGCCCACCATGTATCCCCGCTGCTCATATTCTAACTCTGTATCTATAGTAATGATACACTACTAAGAGTAAACATATTACTCTTCCCAAATCCTATCTGAAACGTAACCTTTACACTTACATGGCATCCCCACAGCACTTAGATGATTGGCTACTTTGTTTTCAGCGCTGTCCTACCAGACAGTCTCGTCCCTTCACCTGATGAAGGCCGCTTGTGTTGTGGCCGAAACGTCGTGAGAATATTATTGTGTTATTTTACTTTGTTTTCATTTTGAGATAATGATTTATCTAGAAAAAGACTCACCGAGTCTCAAGATTATTTTTTTCAGGAGGGTCCTGCATTGGGATGTTTGACCAATACCATTTAATAGGTGTGTAGCATGCGATAACTAACTCGGGTTCCTGGAGACAATCCACACACATGAGGGGATGACACTGCATTGCAATATCCTGCCTACACCTCGCAGCCCCATCCAATAACTAACCAGGCTCAACCCTCTTAGAGCTTCCAAGATCTCACAAGATCAATGCATTAATGGTGATTTGGTCTTTGGCAGAGATGGAGAAGCATGAAGAAACGCATGCTTAAAGATTTACATTGAGTGACAGAAAGAGGAACGTGCGTATTAAAGGACATATGAAGGTTATAGCCATTTTTATTTTTAGAAAAGTAAGGGAGCTTGGGCTGGATGCCCCACTTAAAGGGATGTTGGCTGGTGGTCAAGACAAATGTTAGAATTGCAGTCAAAGGAGTGAACAGGCCCGAGAGTACGTTTATTGTGGAGATTGAGCAAGGAAATCAGTTCACGCATTGGTGCTAAATAGGTTGCTACTACGCAGGACTGTGAGATATGACGGTGGCTTAGGGGAGGCCTTCATCCACCAGTGGAATTATCATGGCTGCTGATGAAGATGATGGATGGCCTTAAGCAGATTATACAAGACTACATGAAGTGGACTGTGCAGTAGGACATAAGCATACATGTATATATATTTTTTGTTCTTTTGGTTTCACTGAAAGTTATTGCAAATAAATGTATCGCTGTCACAGCAAATATAGCGCACGTGCGGCCAAAGGGAGAAAGAGGGGGAAAAAAAAACTCCGTTCACATGTGGGGCGTGGGTGGAAGGTGCCGTGTGTTATGGCGCCATGTGTAGGTGGTGAAGTCGGGCGATTACCCCCCGCCGTGGAATGATAAGTGTTTTTAACACAGAAACGAGTGCTGTGAACGTGGCCACGACTTCGGCTATGTTAGTCGCGTGCGTTTAGTTTTGCTTGCTCTACCACCTCCGCGATTAGGTTTGCGGCAAGGCAGGCTATGATGTAGGGCCCATGTACGTGTGCCACACTTGCCAACTCAACTGATTTAAGTGGTAGATTGCAGGTTTAAAACCCTTATTTTCGCGTGCCAAATTTCAAAGCTATTCTTTTTTTTCCTTTACCCAGAAAAGCCTCACAGAATGGTCAAAACAATTTTGCAGGAGGATCCTGCCAAGTTTTTACGTTCAGGGGCTCTAATTACTAAGTATATTCCAATTTCGTAGTTTTTTGGCATATTTCTTTTTAAAATTTGGCTCATTTGGACCATGATGCCAGCACACAATGGCCTACTCTTGCGAATGACGTCATGGGATCTTAAACTCCACTTTAAAGCAGACGACACATGTTTGTACGATTATCGCACGGTATTAATCCGGGTAGCTACTGGAGTCGAACTGTGAACCTCTAACAATCGGTGACCTCACCACTGCTAGGTCAGGCCATATCACCGCCGAATCGGAATCTTTATTTATCCTGGAGGAATCCGATGAGCTATGAAGCTCTTCTTCAAATAAATATATTGCCTTGGAAAATCAGTATGTGGTAAGATGGTTTAAAATCAGCAGCCTGCCGATTCAATTGGTAGCGATGGCAAGCGTGCCATACGTGTAACTTTTGTATCTATTCGCTGCTGAATAAAGGGTCCTCATGCCGTGCCGGCACGCGGGGTCATCTGACCATACTTCACCGCGCTGATCAATGTGGATTTGGTGAATGCGACGAGGACAGACGGGGAAGCATAGAAGTGCAGCGCATCAATGGATTTTGCTGCACTACCCTCCAATGCTCACCTTGTAACCCACGGCCCTGTGACAAGCTGCATTTGCACGAAGTTCACGCATACAAAGCACTCTCCGGGGTTTGTTGAGCTTCCGAGATTTGGCAGGCACATTCTCGGTGAAGGCATGTGCCACCCATTGCGCGTTAAATAGCTCACAGGACACCTCGCAGGTGACAATTTTAGAAATGAATTCTAATGCTATTTGTCTTTATTTTCAGGGCATTGCTTTAGACTTTAAGTTGCACGTGTTTTTTTCCCCCACAGTGTAAGTACATGGAGCTACACAATGTACTGTAATGTGTGTTTTTCTCTCAGCATTTTGGTTTCTTTATTTTGGATCTTGTACCAATTTATTTTTCTTTCTCACAAATTTGTGTCGTCTTTTTATGTTTGTGTATTTCTCCTTCGGATTTTTTTTCTTCCAGTTCTCTCTTGGAAAGAGGGGGTGGGGGGATGTGTTGTTCTTTCGATGGATGGTTGATGATTAGGCATCTAACAATGCATTGATGCGTTGATTCACGGATTAAAATCGGTTATTTCACTCACGATATATGCTTTAATCTTGTCTGGGAGAATCGATCAAATATGATTTATGTCATCTGTAAATGATATTGTTAATGTAAGGCTAATGGAATGAGTGAAAATGTACAAATTATTTTTTGAGTTGTACGCCTTTTGGCGTCTTCTGGTCCAACACCAATGGAGACTAGGCTCTAAGAAAAGCCGTCTCGGTTGTGGACCAATCAAATTCAAGGACAGTGCATATTATTATCAGAGCTGTCTTTTTTGTTTGCATTTTGACTGCTTGTGTTGTGGTTATTGCAAACATGATGCCTTGAATAAAGGTGTCAGTTTTTGTGCCAGTTAAAAGGGTAAAACCTATTACTATGTACAAATGAGACAATAAAGAATGACAAAATCAAGAAAGTATCACCGACAGAAAGATAATTAATTACTTAGTTGATTTGTAAGTAACAATCAATTCAATCACTGAGTGAGTGGTTAGTTTACTTTCCTAATGATGAAGTTGATAATGATGATGCTTGTGATGGTGATGATTATTAACAAAACACATTTTGTTAGGGATGTGGCTAAAACAGATTATTGTAATCATGTAAAATGTGGTTATTGTTGATTTCGATGGTAAAGCTCATTAAACGCATTCGTTCTGCATAGGACGTGGCCAAAGCAACTCTTAATATTGCTGTTAAATTCAGTGAACGTCTTGCGACACCAACACAAGTTGTCGCATACATATTTGTCCTCGGTGCGTTATGTTTGTTTCGTTCAGGGCTATACTGGCCGGCGGTGGTTTCTCGACATGGACATACAGGCACGGCTACGATGTCAGCATTCCCGTATTCAGTGCTTTCTCCACGGAGGTGAACCTTCCCGTCAAACCCCCGGGGTAAGTGCGGATCATCGATTGCCAGATTTTTCTTTGCTTCTCCGCATGCCGAGCGGATGAAAGGCTTTTTTGCCGGTTAAATATTTCATTCCCGTACTCTTTCGTGGCAGGCGTCAACATTTAACGCGCGAGGCAGGTGGGGTGAAGCGATGCACTGGAGCAGGTTTGTAGATGGTGCCGAGTTGTGAAGTTTCCGTGAAGTCACAAAACCTGCTATTTGTTCAAATGGGGGAAAAAAACGTACATTGGGCAAGCTGTGTGTGTGTGTCCCTGTCGCTGCTTGATCATTTCTCAGTATACTTTTTGATCCGTTGGGCAATTCATGCCGTAACAATGTGCTATTTTGTATTTTACAGTAACAAGCAGCTGTTTACATTTGGCCCTCCCTATTCTGAGATTTCTGTTTTCAGGGAATGGGAAAGCATTATTTTCGAGTGCCCTTAAGGTGGCCAGAAAAGCCGCAATGCTTCCCAGAGCCTTGTTAATGAATCATCACACGCCACTTTGAAGTTGGAATGGAATGATGTCATGCCTTGACAATTTATAGCCCACGTTGAGACAGCTTGTGATGTGATATACCTGCACTTATTTTTCCCGTCCGAGATTTTTCAAAGAAACAGTACGTATAAAGGATGACTGATTTTGGTTCATTCCTTTTTGGATGTAGTTTTCTAAATATAAAGTGAGATGGATTTTCACAACGTTGCCAACATTCCCATCGTCTAATCGCATGCGAATGGGGGAAATGGGCAATCATACAATCGCATTTGTAATCATCAGCAATAGAGGTGCAACGATCGATTCCGCAATTAAAATAAATTCATAGGCTCTCGGTAAATCTCATTGTGTAACAATAAGTTACGTTTGATTCATGTATCTTTTATGTGATGGGTTCTTTTGACACCTGCGGACGCTACTGGCTACTGTATTCACAGTGATAAAAACAATTAATTTTAGCTAAAATCGAATTGCGAACCTGAATTGTGAAAGCTCATCGATGAGCACGGGGGATGTATCATTGGCCTGTGCTCATTTAACATAACCCGATGCTATTTTTCTAATGTCAAGTGTGTAAGCAATTTCGATTTAAAGCTTTCGTGACTGCAATGATTCATCTTCTTTGGTTCTTTTCGGTAAAGTCCGCTTGTGTTGTGGCCGAAACGTTGTGAGAATATTATTGTGTTATTTTATTTTATCAATTTATTATTTTATTCTCATTCTACGTGACTTTACCGAAAGAACCAAAGAAGATGTGTAAGCAATATTTACCGGAAGCCTTGAAGCAAATTCCACTAATTGTGTTCTCATTGTATTGCGAACATTAGTAACCTTTTCCCATTCCGAGACGACTGCATGTTGCAGGGTGGGTGGGTGTTCCGTTCACCGCTAAACCTCGGGAATGGGCACGCTGTTCAGCTTGAATTTTATTTAAAGAGGAATAGCCCCATTGTTTTTAAGGACATTGTATTCACCGCAGAGAACTGTGGCGACGCGACCACACTCTTTGATAGCTGGCGCCAAACTGTGCCACACGCCCTCCAGCGTTGCCCTTGTGGGAGCCTCGGGTCCGATAAAGTTGTTTTAATTTATCTTCCGGTCCATTCCGAAGCCCAGAAATTGCTTACTCATTCCACTGCTGGCATAAGATCCCTCCACTAGATGGAGCTCAAAAGAGCCCCTCCAGAGGCTATTTGGTCTTCTCTTTCACACTGGCCAGACGTTTTGGAATAGTGAGGAGCACCGCTTTATCCCACCGCACATGACCTCATGATATACTCTTTGGTGTACCCATTTTTCCTGCTGGGTGGACAGAGGTGGAGGGATTAAAACAAAAACTTTCCCATTGTTTCCTCTGCCACTCCGGGAGATCGGAGCAGCAACCTCTGGATTGCAAGTCTAGCGTGGTAATCATTAGGCCGCGACAGCATCCTCGCTGCCGTAATTGTAATTTGAGCAAACTTGAGTTCTGGACAAACAAAAAAAAAACACCCCCCCTCCGTTTGTTTTTTTTGTGCCTGCGGGTCACTGCGCGACGGAGGGGGGCAGATAGGGAGGACAGAGCGTGGCAGGGGCAGCGGCGCGCGCTGGCGGCGGTCCACTCACTCACGTGCGCACGCACGCGCACGCACACACGGGCAATAATCGTTTCCATGCGGCACTCACCGCGGCTTGGCGCCCTGCCCAGCAGCTGCGAGCCAGAGGGCAGTAACGCCACGAAGCCTTGCAGGGGAGTGAAGAGATTTGGAGGAAGATTGCTGATAGTAAACCGCAGCGTTCCTATGGCTTGGAGGCAGCCCTTTACATTTTGTTTGCGCGGCACCAGACATATTGGTTGTTTTATTGTTTGGGGGTACGTCTGAGCTTGGCTTTTAATTTAATTTAAAAATGCGCCACGTGCCCCTGCTTTGATGCAGCCTGGTTGGTGGGATCCTTGTTGCGAGCGCTTTAGTATTTAGGCGTGCGCGTCTTTTCGGCGATGTAATTTGTGAAGTGGGGTAGAACCGGGCATAGCAGTTAGCGCTGTGAACCCACTGACCTGAGTTTGATTCCGGGCTGCAGCTGTAACATGTGTGGTGAGTGTTGTTCAAACCGGAGCGAGTCCATCCCCCTTGACCCATCTGCATTTACCAGCACGGTGAAGTGTGGTTGGTCAAACACCGACATGGCGTGGAGGTACCATTATTCAGCAGTATATTGACAATGGGCTGTACATTTAATAATAATAATAAATATACAAAATGTAAACCTAATATTAATGGTTGGACATTTTGGAACAATTTGAGCATAATGCTTTCTTCCTTAATGTTGATCAAATCTGAGTGCAGCGTGTAACTTAATCTTTATATAGGCTGTCCAAAAATGTCGTGAGATCAAAGAGCATGCCAGAAAGGTTACTTTCATTACGTTATTGATGACTTCGCCTGTGGTTGTCGTATCGCCTAGTATGGTGAGAGCACAGGTACGCGTGATGTGAAATGTGCCATATATGCCCCAGTGAAATGGTGCTCAGTGCAAACGATCCCAACGTAACCATGGATACTCAGGCCTCCCATGGAAATTGTACGCTTGCGTATGGCAATATGTTCAGGAGCTGAATGCCAATGTCGAGGTCTGCCCGCCACGAGGGCACTTCCGCAGCGTGTTTGTGTGGTTTTTCTATTCCTCCGTTGAAGGAGCTCACTATAGTTCACAGTGGGTTACGATATGGTCCATAGTTTGGGTTGCGTGGCCACAATCACTGTGGCCTGTCTCCCATGGAAATTAAAATAATGAATCTCAATGTGTGCTGTCGTAGTCAAAGGACATTGAATTGATTTCATGTCATGGCTAAAAAACATTGGCAAAGCAAAGTTTATATTACCCCTGTAAGTTAGTTTTAGAATTTATTCATGCTTAGCAAATTTGCTTTCCTTGGGAACAAATATGTTATTTTAGATGGTTAAATTAAATAAATGCAGTGCGTTATACAAGAAACACATTTTTTTACAACACATAAAGCAGAGCCCCTTATGATCATAAGCTAGAACAAACGAATGCTGAACACATCGGCGAAGGCTCTCGTATCCAAAGCAAAGCGGAACCTATAAATCTGATTCTCGGTGTGTGTCTGCAGATGTTATGAGTTCAGTATGACTTCAGTAGCACTGTTAGGAAAGCCTTTGTGTTTGTAAGCATGGCGAAAAAAAAGCATTCGTCACCCGGTGTGCCTTCGGCAGAATGACCCAGAAAGTTGTCCAGCACAAGAGCCTTGCCTTGTGGAATGCCTTGACAGTGGTTCGGTAGGAGTAATGGCATAGAGTTCTGATGGATTAACAAGAAAGGAAAACGCCTATAATGGTTTTCCTTGTTAGGACAAGCATTATGCTAAGGAAATGTAGATTTGTTGTACTCGTGTATGTATGTATGTGTATTTAGTAAATGTTTTTTTATGCCTGAATGCGATATATACAAAACCATGCCTGCATTCATGCTCCCCTTAACTGCCTTTGTTATACTATGTGTTGGTGGTTTTGGAATATATCATCCTGGAATGTGATTTCCAGTGTTATTGCCTGCCAGCACAGCTGAAAGCAATATCAAATGACTGCAGTTTTGGTATCTGTTTTACAGGCCGAATTTTAAGAGAGCCATAAAGTCTGATGAATGTAACATTAAATGAACGGATTTTTGTTTATCTTCATACAAAACAATCACCATCTTTTTAACAAGGCTACTCGTTTAAATGATCGCCAGAAACGTGCAACGTATGATAAGTGCTCTTAAAGTATTTTACTGTATTATGCAGGGTGTTTTAAAAAGATGGACCCAATTTCAAAGCAGTATATTTCACGATGGCAACATGTTACAATTACACGAAAAGTTACAAACGGTTTAATGAGTTATCAAGTTTTACTAACCATATTATAAATGCTCTATATGCCTTCCACCTGCTGTACGGACAACATCGAGACGATAGTTGAATTCGTCCCAAACACCTTTTTTGTCACGTTTTCCTCTGAGGTGCGTGGTCGCCCTGTGCTCTTCCCCTTACATCAACAGCAGCCCGTTTCCTCAAATTGTCGGTACCAACGACGAATGCTCTTTGACATTGGCGGATCAATGCCAAAACGCCGTTGAAACGCACGCTGCACCGCAAATTACGGATTCAGTCTTGCTGAACTGCAGAGCGCAAAACGCCCCTTGTGTTGCGGGGTCACCATCTGGGAATGACTGAGGCTAGGGGCTGTTTGTGTGCTGGGAGAGGCATCTAGCGGGTAATCATTTGAAACTCTGTGGCCCGCCCTTTCAAGTGGTAAGAGTTTAATTCATGGGCGGTTAGTGTTTGCAGAGATATAGCGATTTCAAATCGGGTCCATCTTTTTTGAACTCCCCGTATAATCATAATTGAACCGCACACTTTCAATGTTGGCATCATATATCTTATACTGTCATGTGTTTTTAAACAAAACAATGGAGTGATCTTCACTAGCGCAGAACAAGAAGCTCTCAACACGATCGCATCCGAGATGGTGGCGAACACCTGGGACACTCTGAAACCCTAAATTTGCTTTTTGCATTTCCAACGGCGTCGTGGGACACGTGAAGATTTATTGTGCATCTGTGTCCTTTTTATTGAACAAATTATTCGGTGATGCTGCGTTGGCAGCGGGTTGCACAAGCACAAATAACACGAAGCGTGTTGTCACCCAAAGCTGCCCTAAAAAGGAACATTGTAGAATAGGTGATGTTTCAGGTCGTGGCCTTTCCGCACCACACGTCTTACACGTGTCAAAACAAAGCATTAGACATCGCACTCCTACCTGCCGTGTACACGTCATCCAAACCCTGCTCTCTCGTCTGGCACGCAGTAACGAAGCCAGTGAATGTAAGAGGTCCTTTATGCACGGGTGTCTCTCTCTCATTGGATCGTGCGTTTGTTTACCTCGCACGTTTGATTTCTCAGTAAAATTGGGACGCAAGCTCAAACTAATTTACAAAATTACCCCACTCCCACCATATATTCCTCTCCCCCTCTTATAGGATTGAGGAATGTAAACAGTTTCAAGTTTCTTTTATCCATTTAACCCTTACATTTCTCGAGGGCTATTCTAATCCCAATTAAATTAGAATTGGGCTCAGGAAATGCAGCACTGAGCGAGTTATGCATTGACCTCAGCATTTCTACCCACAATACATTGCAGCAGCAACATTTTCCTACGTAAATTTTCATTATAATTATTTCGTAATACATCTTTGATTATTAAAAGGGCCTGTGTTGCTACTCAGTATGTGACTTGATATGCCAAGTAAATAAAAAAATAAAAACCTGTAAATCGAGAGACATTTTTCCGAGTTGAGTGTTTTTTTTGTCAGACCCCCCCATTGTATGGCTTGATGACGACATCAGAAATTGGTGCCAAAAGAGGCTCACGCCTTGCGCAATATTGGCACAGGACAGAGGAAAGAGGAAACAAATGAAGAAGTGTGCCCTGGATACTTACAGGCTATCTGCCCATGGATCGTGATGATGATCGTTTAAAGTGCAGTTTCCAACTCGTATCCGCTTTATCACTCTGGCAAGCTTTATTTACGTGTTCTGATGAATGGCCATTGCCAAGAAAAATGGCTGTTATGTATTTTGTATTTTCAGAGCAACACTCAGTGTTGTTGGCGAATGTGTTGTGTTGTTTGCTTTATGGACATTGTCAAACTGCCCTCTGCTTATAATTCGTGAATAAGGGATGATTCATGTACAGACACGCTGTATTATATGTTTCAGAAACTTGGACGCTGACAGAGAAAAGGTGAACACAAAACCTGAAACGTGTGCAAATAATCACGAGAGGCATGCACTTGGAATTCCACGGAGACACAGAGAGAGAGAGCAACACTTGGGTTGTGAAAGATACGAACGTTATACACCTTTTAGATATTTTTATTATAAAAAAACAATTGGGATTGGGCAGGACAGGTCAACAGAAGGGACAATGGCTGATGCTCGAGACTAACCACAGTGGCAGGAATGTGCCCGAGAGTGTGTTTGTGGCAGAGATGGAGTGATGAAATCAGCTCATGTGCGGGCACAATATGGATCGTTACATCGTGGGACCGGGAGGGATTGTTACAGCTTGGGAAGGCCTTGGTCTAAAAGTGGATTAATCCATGGACGATGGTGATGATATATTTAAATGTTACCCATGGTGTGCAAGATCTGGTATATCTTGTGTTGTAATTTCAGTGGCACCTTGGCGAGAAAATGGTTGCATTTGATTTGTCTCTTTCGCTTAGATGGTGCAAGTGCACGACAGTTGTATGTGTCACTGACGTAAAACGGTGTGAAGTGAACATTTTTGTTTGCCATGGTGTCATATTTTGTTTGCGAAAATAACCGAGAAGTCTAATAATCTTCGCCGATATGAAGCAGATTTCAACTCCTGCATATGTAAGAATGTGATTAAACAAAAACATGATTTCACATGAAGGTACTTATGCATGGCACAGTAACTAAAGAGTTGATTGAGCTGTTGACTTAACAGTGTCAAGGGAGAGATGACATTTTTTTAAACTTAGTGTGGCAGTAAAGAGAGGCTGGAATGGCATTCTGGAATTAAGTTCAATTACAAAAGACACTCACTACTTATGTAGCCAAGTCTGCCAAATGACGCGCGCAATACATTGTAATCAACTCTGAAAGTGTACACATTTCCGTATGTGTTGAAAACATTAAAATTAGGTTTTCCAGCCAGGTGTGGGAGGGTTTGCACATCTGTGAGAGAGCCAGGGTCTTGGCATCAGGAACCCACAAGCAAATAAAACGGCCTTGGCCACTGCGTTGCGGAGATTAAGGGATTGTGTCCCCACTCACGGACGCGTTGCGGTAGGTCCGCGTCAGCGCTCTATAAATAAAGACAATCCTCAGCTCTGCCGTGTCTTAATGTCGCACGGAGTTCAATATTTATCCTACAAATGATGGAGAGACAGAAGCTGCTGTGCAGCAGCCCGGACAGCACACGTAAAACGTGCATTTGTTGTGCACAATAAACTGTGCCCTGAACCCTCAAGCAGGGGGGTACGGCTGATAGCAATCCGGCGTCGGTGCACGGCGGTGGGACGCACTTACCGCCACGCGACAGCACACGATAGCGATCACTGCAATTGATTAAACTCAGACACTCCCAACTGTGGTCTTCACTGATCATGCTAGGGGCCAACTCCTAAGCCTGTCGCGTCTGCTCAACTTTAAGTCTCATCTGCTTCCCCTGAGCTGGACTTATTGGCACAATGTGTGAACTTGGTAGTGCACTCAATGGAGGGAAGGGGGGGAGCGGGTGTTTGATTGTAAGTGCATTTGTGTACACGAGTGTGTGGAGCGGGTGTGCAGTGGTTAATTCATTGCACTATTGAAAGACACTGGGTCATCATGAAAAATATTTCATGAATTAAAAATGCAGTTACTTGTTCCTGTGTGCCAGTGTTCATAATGACATTTAATTCATTGATCTTTTGTAGTTTTTATGCTTCAATGATTTTCTGCATTACAACCAGTGGTTACTCCTTTTGCCAGTATCTGGTTTTGAGTTCGAATCCCAGCCAGCAGTCAGCATAGCTCATCATCAACCCAGACTACTTACAAAGTGATTTACACTTCTCAAAGGAGGAGGTTTTCCACTGCTTGGGAGGTCAACTGTGTTTTGCCTTTGAGGGGTTTTCCCCTCGCCACGGACACGTGGAATTTCCACCATTGACTCGGTACAGCCAATGGAGATGACTACCGCCTGACATTTAGATGGCATTCGAGATGAGCATTGTGGAGGAAGTCTGCGGTGCATTTTATTCATTTTGTGTTCATTTTCAATTGTTACCCTGGAAATGTATGTATTTAATCTCTTAAAAGGTATGACCGCTGTGGTAACCTGTGATTCAGTCTTTCTTGTTCATGGAACTGATACTCAGATGCTCGTGCATGCTTTTTAATACATCCAGACTCGATTAATGCAACTTCCCCAACTCCTGTTCCCAAATAAACACAGTACAGTCTATTCATTATGTTAAATTACTCCAAGTTGCCACTCTCAGGATGATTGCTGGCACATAGTCAACTAGTCGTACAATGCCTGTCCTGGGACTATTTGTTGACTTCCAGCTCAATACTCGATGCAATTTAAAACTTTCCTCCTCGCTGTCAAAACCGTTCACAACTTGGTTCTGCAGTTACCTTCACGATGTGGTTACTCCCTTTGTCGGCTTGCAGTACCCAAGGTTTAATGACGAGAATACATTTCCTTTGATGGCTTTTGTTATGGCCATTATAACTTCTTTCAGTTGATATTTTTTTACGTGGCTGTTCCCAATGATGATTGATGTTGTTTTCATTGCACTCTGCTGCACGTGTCTTTATCTACTGTTTGTAAAATATCTTTGAATCCTGCCGAATTATTTTTTTGGTGCATGCTTTTGTTTACAATTATGTTTCAATTGAACTATCAACGCCATGCCATGAGATAAAGACATTTCTTTCAGGAACTATGCAGCTCGCAGTGCATTACCCCGTGTCAGTAAACGGCTGCAGAAGATGATGGCACAGAACTGACTGAGGTCTGATTAACTGCAATATGGGCATGCATAAAAATTCCTGGAAAGATTGTTCAATGCATTTAAATAAATGTGAATATTTTTTTTCACGGGAGCTGAAACTTTTGCCAAATCAAGTAAAGAAAAAAGACCGGTTTATAATGTTTTATTGCTAACTAGGTTGAGACCAGAAACTTACAAAACAATCTTTTGGGTGCATTATTTAATAATTGGTGACTCAAACCCATATTTGAATCCAGGATCTCAGCGGTGTTAACTTAGTGCTCTGACTCCCGAGTCTTCCAGCCACCGATTTTGTATTTTATCTTACAACCGGTTACATTCATTACCTATTGAACTGCTTTTAGTTTATCCTCCACTACAGGTTGTAAGTATGTTGAACTTATTTCGCACCGTACGTAGCCAACCGTGCTAGTCGGAGATGCGGGGGAAGGACAGCAACAGGCTCTATAAAAGACAGAGACCCAGACCCAGGGCTTGAACCCAGGTTCTCAGTGGTGTTGGCTCTTATTATTGTGAGCGCAATAATGTTATCGTTTTATCCGCAGGTACCGTGCCTGGTTTGTGGTATCGGCGCAAGTTGGGCTCCACATGGAGCACCGTGCAGAGCTGGAGACAGTGGAGGCAGATAACGGAGAGCAGGTGCTGCTGCTGGAGCGCTGTGCCACGCTGCCGCAGGACTCCACGCACGCTCGCACGCGCTGCCGCAAGGACAAGGCGTACAGCTACCCCGAGATCCTGCAGGTGTGCGTCCGCCATGGTGGACTCCTGCCTTGCTTTTTTTTTTAACCCTTTCCTATGCCCCTTCCCACGAGTTTTTCTTCCGATTCCTTTCCGATGTCGTGCACGTGATATCATTCTAACGCCCCCATTAGCGATCCTATGAATTATCACGAATCGACATGGTGGTTTGAGTCGCAAACGGATGCTTTCTTGTCTTGTTTTTACAGTCATGGATGGTTTTTGTAAATGTAAGAAAAGCACATTGATTGAATGTAAAAAAGAATAGTTTCCAGATTTTTGTCAATCCACTGCTGGATGACGACCTTCCATGCCATGTAAGAAAAAGGGCTTGTTTGACCTCTCTTCACATCGGTTACTATGGGTGGCTCAATGCAAGGAGCATAGACATGGGTGCATAGAAGAGTATAACAATGGATGTTGCAGTGCTGCCCACAACATCGTCCCACGGCAACCTAGAGTGCCTATTATTCATGGTGGTCGTCCATCCAAGTGTAATGACAGGGTGCCACCTGTCGGCCTGGAGGGGTAATCGCGGGTATGGGCAAGTTATATAATGACTAACTAGAAGGGGGGCGTATCTGGGGTAAAGGTGAAAGGCGGAGTCAGTCGGGAAGCTCCGGGAAGCTGCTCGAAGGTTCTGGAAGGGGGCGTGGCCAGGGGCGGGGTTTGGTCACGCCGGGAGGTATAAAAGGGGGACGGAACCAGAGGTTCGGGGCTGTTGCCTGTCCTGAGTCTGCTCGCCGTCATCTCTCTTCGTCGTCCGGCCGCGTGGCCGATACTCTGCACGGCTCTCATCGTCGTCGTCGCTACGCTAGTCAGACAGCTGTGTAGTTAGATGCCGACGATGGGGTTGTGTAGACGTGTCGACTATGTGTAGCCATGTAGATAGGTTCTGTATAATGCCTAGTGTTGTGCCCAGTGTGAGAATAAATAAGAAGCTCTCTTTGCGACGTGTCTCGGACGTCGGCTCACTACACAAGCACTATCCTCACTCAAGCCTGCTTGTACTACATGTTCTGGCACATTCCAGGCTATTTGGTCATAAGCAGGCCTTTACGGATTGCCGCTAATATCATGTGCCCCTGTTTGAGCCTACATGAGGATTTTTTTTTTTTACCCATCTTCCACTGGAAAATCTGAGCAGAGCATCACAGTACACAGGTGGTTTTCCAATGGCTTAATTCCATGTCGAGCCGGAACCAAACCATGATTATTTATATAGTTGCCACCGATAAATTTCTGGGTAAGGTACAGATTAACTCCATCTCTGTGTCGGACACCCGGAAACTTAAACTGTGCATATTTCAATATTACCTACGTGCGGGGGGCCTCCCCGGCTCCCTTCTTCCCGCAGGGGTGGAGGGGTCCAGAGGAACCCTGTCCGCCTTGACCCCTCTCCCCTGCTATTTCCTTCAGAGTTACGTTTCTGATTTGGCAGTCAAGAGAGTTGTTGTCCCGTACGGTGCGAAAGAAGTTCAACACGCGTGCAACTCCCACTGGCGCAGCTTCCGTGATTTACGCAGCAGAAAGGGGTTTGGACCCCCCCCCCCCCCACCCTCCTTTGCTGTGGTGTCCACCATGTCGCCTCGTTTCCTCGCAGAAGGCCTCCAGGGTGGGCCTGTCAGTTCCTGCGCTGGAGGTCAGGGCTGGAGGTCAGGGCTGTGGCTCAAATGGACCATGAAGCAGGACTTGAATAATCTTTATCACTTAGGAAATGGCGGTTGAGGGGTCGCATGGGCCAGTGTGTATGTATGTATATGTTGAACTTTCTTTGCACCGTACGTAGCCAACCGTGCTAATTGGAGGTGTGGGGGGAGGAAACAAACAAAACCAAAATCTAGTTATGCTGGCCTCTCAAGATACCTGAATCTTGCTCAACACCAAATCCCGTATATGTTGCATTATTACGTTTACTGTGCAAACACGCTATCACCGCGCCATCTGTATGCATCACTCGGCAGCACGGCTCAACTTCTGCAGCGGACAAACAACCTAGCGCCCTTCCACACCATGCCGGGCTGACTTAGCATGACCCTGGCGTGGCTCGGTTTGTACAGTGGAAAACACGTGTTGTTTTTGTCCTACAGGAGGCTACGTTCTGCGTGGTGCTGCGCAGGGCTCGGCTGGGCCAGTCAGCGCTTAGCGACACCATGCAGGCCGGCTGCATTCCCGTGATCTTCGCCGACTCCTACGTGCTGCCCTTCTCCGATGTGCTCGACTGGAAGAGGTGAGCCGCGTGTCGACGGAGGGCGCAGCGCCAAGCTTCCCAGTGGGCAGAGGAAGTTGTTGCGTTTGTGTGCTGTGTAATAACCCAGTGAATAGCGCAATGTGCCATGAAGCCTGTGACATGAGTTTCATTTCTGGCCACGGCTTCCATCAATGTTGAGTAATGACAGGACCGGTCTTGTGCCACTGCTAGGTCAACTCTGCTTTTTAATGTAGTGCCTGAAGTGGGGTGTAAATATTGGCACTGGGGAGACGAAGGCCTTCGGTGTGGTGCTGTCCACACCACTCCATGCCATCCTGAATTAGGTGCCTGTTAACAGCACCTTTTTTAACAACCTGTGCGGGCTACAGGGAGGATCTTTTGTCTTTGTTGTGCTTGTGTTGTGCCTTTCCCTCTGTGGCTGATAGTTGAATGTTCTCATTCGAGCAACTGGGCACTGGCTGAAAGAACAGGCTATGTGGTCTTTCCCTTGTTACTGACGCATTGGCCAACCCATTGTTTCCACTTGTCACAATCTTGTGTCATTAGTTAGAGGACAGCAGATAGGCAACGTTTAAATAAATGCTTCCAAGCAAAACTGATGTCGTTTTAGGGTGCCTCTTATTTGTATTGCCTCCTGTCTGGAGAATTAGCAGTTCACCGTCTTGTTTTCTGTTCATGTCGGTGGCTTGGAGATGTTAACTACCTTGCCTGGTATACAGGAGGTCCCGGGTTCGATCCCGACCATGACAGCTCTAAATTTGAAGTTTGCATGTTCTTCCTGTGGTCATGTGGATTTTTCTCCGAGTCCTCCAGTTTTTCCCTCTACATTTAGAAACATGCGTTAAGAGTATTTGTCTGCTATAAATTTCCACGTGATAAGCCACTTCGTTGAGCTATCATTTGCGGCAAGGTCGTTTTTGAAAAAGAGCTATATAGCTCAGTGGGCCTTACTTGGTAGAATAAAAATAGTTTTATTTTCATCTTTTCGTTTATTACGCTTTCTGTTGCTCCCTTGCTTTGTTGTAGTGTTATCCGAGAGTGCATTTCTAGATGCAATTCTAGCCCAGTGTTCGGGCCTTTGAGACTTTTAGAGAGATGTACATTTTCAAACCTGGGTCAGAGTGAAATTTATAAATGAATACAATTTTGCACGTCTGCCACATGTGGTGCATAGACAGGGCCCTCGCTATTTGGTCTGCTAAGTGACAACATGCCGTATTGCGATGGCACCCGCTTATTGTCAAGATTTGGGAACACCAAATAAGCGGTTATTCTGCCTGCGTCAAGGCGGTTTGCTGTGCATAGAAAAGTGCCGCATGCCCAATTGAAAACAGCAGTACCATGGCGCTTCCTTTTGACCACCCTCGACGCTTGCAGTGTTTTGGGGGGTTCCCCCCCCCCCCCCGCCCCGACTTTTAGCGTTACTTTGTTGTCTGTGCACTGCTTGGAGAATATAAGTATTTGCATCCATGCCCACTAAAAGCGAAACACATTGCTGGATATATCTACGTGCGTACATGCTTCATCCAAGCAGTGCTAGTGGTTTGATGTCGAGTTAAAATGTGGTGAAAGTAACGGTGCACGCACCCCCTGCAACTATCTGGTAGAAGGGCCTCCGTTTAAAGGGGGAGCGCAAGAGAGCCTTGCAAGAGGGTCCTTTTGCCCTGCTACTCTACAGTGGCCAGATGACTTGGAATGGGTGAAGGTACCTACTAAATATCGAGAGTAACTTATCAATAAACTTGCCTGAGTGGTGAGCAACAATGCAGGCTGATATTTGCAGATTTGAATATTGAAATTATAAGCCAGCATCTTCATTGGTGAAGCTGAAATATACTAAGTTTTCAGAAGGCTTCCATTTGAACAAATGTCCTTAATTGGTAAAAGGGTAAAAAGCAAAGCTCCTTTGTGGGTTATTCAGTTAAAATTTGACATTTATGTGTAAATAAAAAAAAAGTTAATTATTCGCCATTTTACAGTGCCAACGATTGACAGTCAAGGCTGCGAAGGCTTTATACAGATAAACTAGCTTAACTACCTGGCTTCGCCCGGGACTTGGATTCACCACGGCCTGGCCGCCTTTGTCTCCCCAGTGGCGATGTTGATACACCACACCACTTGTTTGAGGCTGAGTCGACCTAGGGGAGGCCCAGAACCGGTTCAAATAATCGTCACCGGCGGTGGCCGTGACCGGGAATCGAACTCGGGTCGCCGGGTTCGTAGCGCAGCGCGTGAATCGCTACACAGTCGCTGCCCCCCCCCCCCCCACACACACAGGATAAAGACAAAGATCCCCCGTGTAGCCTGTGAGACTGTAGGGGGCAAGTGCTGTTAGCGAGTAGCACCTATGAAGGCCGGCACGGCACACGAGGGGGTGGGTGGCCAGCACCATGCCCGGTCGCCTTTGTCCCCCCGGTGGCGATGTTCACACACCACACCAGTTACTCGTTTGATGCTTGAGTCGATCTAGGGGAGGCCCAGGACCGGTAAAAATAATTGTCACCGGTGGTGGCCGTGAGCGGGAATCGAACTCAGGTCGCCAGGTTCGTAGCGCGGCGCACTAACCGCTACACTACAATGCGTTACGCTTCCACATACGCGGGTCACATGACAGATTTGACGTTAACAGCTCACTTGCCGTGCAAAAAATAAATGCATTATTGAGCTCCCCCCCCCCCCCCCCCCCCAAAAAAAGTGTATTTTTATAATTTTTGCATGGTGTACAGTCTGGAAAGTATCCACATGGCAAATGTCAAGCTTGTTGCATGTCGGGAAGTACGCTAAATATTTTGAACAGACACACATCATGTCAACTTTGCCTTTTATATATATGGAGATAAAACAAATCCCACTATTCGGCATTCAACCATTTGAAAGCCTCACCATAGCAGGAAGGTTTTTGTTACCATACTCTACCACACTGGTAATTGTGGGTTGGTGAACGTTGGGGGTGGATAGGGGGACAGGACAGAAACGGTTTGTATACCACTTGCCACTGATGTTAGCCATGGCCAGGAATCAAACTTGGGTCGCCGGGCTTATAGCGCATCACACGTACCACTGTATTACTTATGTGGCAAATGTATTTCACAATACCTTATGTTGAGATTGAAGGATGGTCACGGATACTTCACATTCAAAATGCGAGCAGTGAGAAGGCCACTTGTTTGGTACTGGCTTCGAGGCAGTAGGGGGCAGTGCCTGGGTAATTTTAAGCACCCTTCTTCAATATGTTGCAGTCTTTCTTTTGAGAAAGCATGCCTTTCTAACAATTTGAAGTCCATGAATTACTGCAAATATATTGACACGCAATTTTATACCTTTTTGACATGCAAATGAATTCGTGTTGCGTTGAAATTTGAAGTAAAGAACCCCCAATCACTTATTTGTGATTATTATTTCCGTACGATCTTTTATGGAAATGTGCGCTCGTCTTCCGTGACCAACGACGGGACAAACTCGCCAAGGCAATGTGTTGCTGTCATTTTGGTCGTCAGAATTTTTATTTAGACTGCAAGAGGAATCCGATGAGCTGTGCAGCTCTTTTTCACATATATCCAATATGTGTGGGTCAGCAAGTTACAACAACAAACAATACAATTACATTATGGCAGGAGTGCAACAGAGGAAAAGGTAAGCAAGTGGCTCAATATAAATAAATAATATCTTCATTGTGTAAGTCCGATTTAGCGCGTTTTGGGCAAGGCAGCAAAAACACCAATAAAATAGTCTCCAGACTACATCAAGGTAACACCACACAGCAGTAGTAACGGCGCATTAACATCGAACTATCGATACACAGGTAAGGATCAAAGTTACGAATCACACCACAATGTTGTGTTATTATTGTACATGCATGTATTGCTTATCATTTTCCATAAGAGGTTTTTTGGATTTGGTTGCGTGAATATAAATTTCGTTAAACCCGCCCCCACTCGACAAAGCCAATTAGTAAGGTTTTCCAATTTGTTACTAATTCAGCTGAACTAGTAACGAATTGGCACGTTTTGTTTACGTGACAAACCTTACTAATTGGCTTTGTCTGGTGGTGGCGAGGTTTAATGACGCATTTATGTTCACGCGGTCTCACCCAAAACCCTCTATTATGGATAATGTTATATATATATTCTTGGTTCTTTCGGTAAAGTCACGTTGAAGGGAAACAAAATAATAAAATATATATGAAACAATAAAATTCTCACGACGTTTCGACTGCAACACAAGCAGTCATCATCAGGTGTGAAAACCAACGGCAAGAACATTTGAACATTTCAAATGTTTTCTCACCTGATGATGACTGCTTGTGTTGCAGTCAAAACGTCGTGAGAATTTAATTGTTTGTTTCCCTTCAACGTGCCTTTACCGAAAGAACCGAGAATATGAATCACTGCAGTCACGAAAGCTTTAAATAAAAAAAAAAATGGATAATGTTGTTCGCGAAAGCCTACGTGTTAAACTTGCTTTTCATTTGTCCGTTTTCAGAGCATCGGTGGTGCTACCAGAGGATAAAATCCCTGACATGTACAACATCCTGAAGACCATTCCCCACAAGCAGATTGTGGACATGCAAAGACAAGTGAGAGAGTGTTTTTTGTGGCGGTTCCTCTGGAACAATTCTAATGCAGCAGCTGACCATTGAGTCATTGAGATTGCGAATTTGAATGATACTGTTCGTACCGCTATTTTCAAAACCCACCTGTTTCAAATGTTCAAATAACCCAACGATTGCTAAAGTAAATTAATCAACCAGAATGTGTGGTAACACTTAGGTACACACTTTTGGAGCAGTAAGACTTTAAGAGGGAAGACATTTGTCACAAAGAAATCTTGCGGAGCTAAATACTTTCGCCTGCGATTAGCGCGGTTGGCTACGTATGTTGCGAAAGAAGTTCAGCACTCATACAAACAAAGCAGAACATGAAATAATACTTAACAAAGTGACTCGGAGACAAAGAATGGAAACATTTGCCATCTGCAAAAAGGTCTCTTTTTCTATTGGTTTCTTCTCCGAGCCAATGCCTGCAAAGCTTCCTGTGAATCCATTTGAATATTCAAGAAATAATTGATTGACCCCTTTCAGCCCTGACATTAATCACGGTTTGTGTTCACGTCACCCTGCCTTTAAAAAAGAAGCCATCACTTTTTCTGCGTAACGGGTCCGGCGGCGGGTAAATGCGTTGTCCTAAGCCCGCAGTCTATATATAACGAGAGAGGTCAAGCAGTTAGGAAAACCCTTTTAAGTGGGGCATGTTTCGGCAGCTCGTGGCCCCGCTTTATGACTGACGCCGGGGCCGCGGGTCAGGGCCCTGTGTCGTAAGGGCCCAGACGGAGCAACCTTCCACAAAGCGGCCATTGGAGCCCTCGGCAAATCGCTCATTCCCCCATTCGTGGTAACCGACGCATGCTAAAGCTAACAAAAAAAAATGAAGAGATTCAGGAGCAGGGAGTGGCCAGGTGGCTTGTTAAGCCCGGCTGCCGTGTCACGGACAGCGCGCTTTGAGTGTGCGCGGACTGCGTGGAGCGCTGGGGGGGGGATTGTCGGGTCCCATTTCAGTGTTCAGTCTGTGAGGGCGCTTGGAGTCTTGAGGCTGGCACAGTTCACACCAGTTGTCATCACGCCCGGTTATGTTTAAACTAATCAGCACGTTTACACTCGCGCGCCACTCATGCCAGATGCAACGGGGGCGGCGAGGGAGGTTCAGTTGCACTCAAGAGCATCAAGACGAAGCGGCTTTCATCTGATTGGCTTGTCAGTCTCCTGTGAATAATTAATCAGATAAATCGCGTGTGGTTCATGCGATGCAACAATGAAAACAAAATAACGATATTAATAGCAGACAAGTTAACTTTTTTTAAAAGGAGCAGGCTTCTTGAATAAACTCGAGAAATCTGTCAACTGCACACACAGGATTTGGTGGCCACTGCCGTGAACATTTTAATTTTTCCCATCTTGAAAACAAACATTTTAAAGATTCTTATGAAAAGTTCATTGAAAAAGTGCTGATTCTCACCTGGTATATAGGAGGGTGGATCGCTCAAGAGTTAATCAGACTGGTAAGGACTTTATCAAGATGACAACATCCTCTGAAACACCCATATGGTTGGAGAGCTAGCGCAAAAAATAAAACGGACCTCTGTCATAATGTGTTAAGGGCCCGTTTTATGTTCCAACAAAAGGGAAAAAAATTAGAAAAATGTTCTGCAGACTGCTGTTGGCCTGGCCATCAGGCAGGGGGTGTGCTTTGAGTCTGTTTCGGGGGCCGTTGCTGACTGATAAGTTGGGCCCATGCAGACCAATCGCAGCAAGGCAGGGCTTTTGTCCAACCCCTCTCATCCATCAAACCCCCGGACACTGTCTCTGAGATCAAAGGGCCAGCCTCTTCTCCAGGGATCTGTGCGGCAGGGTCTGGCCTGCTCAGCTTGACGTGGTTTTTAGACTCCAGAGGCCGTGCAGGACTCTTCTCCCCTCCCTCTCTCAATCTCAGCCTCCCACTTACTCCCTCTCACTCTCACTTGCCCTCTCACTCTAAATCACTCTCACTTGCCCTCATTCTTGCTCTCATGTGTATCCTCGTGCCTATTATGCTTTTCCTTTTTTTCTCTTCCCGTCACCGTCAGGCTGCCTCGTCTCTCACTCTCTTCGTCGCACGCTCTTCCTCAAGCTTATCCACCCGCTCCCATACACCTTCTCCGTCTCTCGTTCACTCCCTCTCAATTACACTCTCCGCCCCCCAACTGTGTCTGTGGCTCCCTGTTTTCCTCCCCCCCCCCTCTTTCTCTCTCTCCCCATTCCTTTGCCTCATTCTCCCTGCTTCTTATCACCCTCTCTCCGTTTCTCCCACTCTCTCTGTCTCTCCGTGTGACTCTCCCTCGCCTCCTGTCTCCCCCTTCGTTTTTCCATCCTCGGTCTCTCTTTCTCCCGCTCTCTCGGTCCCCATTTCGTACCTTCTTTGTCTCCCTCACTCCCTTCCTAATCGGCGTTTCTCTCCCATCTTCCCGTTTCTCTCTCCCCGTCATTAACCCTCTCCGTCTCTCTTGGGCCTCGTAGCCTCTCCCCTTGCCAGCCGCGCGCTTTTATCGGAGAGGCTGTCGCGTTGGCAGCGCCATTCTCCGCTGTGCCGTGGGGTTGGGCCGCAGCAGTGGAGGCAACATCTGTACAGCAGAAGCTGATCTCTGACTCAGCACCGAAGCGAATGCGTAAATACCCATCCACGAGCAACTGGGCCCCATATCTGACAACTTCGTGAGGGATTATTCAGCCCTCGCGAAAGAAAAGAAACATTTGTTCTTTTACGATATATATTGAGGTCTAATGAAATCTGGCTTGATAGCAAAGTTTACGAAATGCACGCTCCACGTGCTAAAATGTTCTTCATTTTAAAGATGGTACGGTAAAGGCACGTAGGTAAAAAAAATAAAACAACAAAAATCACGACGTTTCGGCCACAACACAAGCGGCCTTCATCAGCGTGTGGCCGAAACGTCGTGATTTTTGTTGTTTTATTTTTTACCTACGTGACTTTACCGAATAGAACCAAAGAGTATGGATCCTTGCAGTCACGAAAGCTTCAAATCTAGAATGGTACGGTAACTTCGTTCCATTTAACTTCAATAGATTTTAAGCTTAATCAACTTTATTTGGTATGCTCATCAACTATGTTTGGTATATGCATGTTTTTGTTACAATGTTGGCATGTAAGGAGAATTAACCGAAACTATGAAATCCTGTAAAGAGAACTGAGAGACGGCATCGCTGAATTGACCATGAGAGGAAGTAATAACTTGTGTTTGCATGGACATATGGTGTTAAATCTGTGCGTTGTGGTTGGGACCTGCTCATGATTCATTATTGGATCATTAAGCATGAATCATAAACCTTTGTTGGGGTCATTAAGAACGGCACCAAGCCATTGAAAAATATTCATTTCATGTCCGCCTATTGAATGCATATTGCATCGCATCGGACCAAATCATGAGAATTGGAGTGATAGCATACCTTCATAAACATAGGTACATGTACAGCCCTCTTGTAAATCTACTGCTGGGATGAGGGCCTCCCTGAACCGTGTGGATGGTGGTTCTTTAACCATACTTCAGCACGCTGGTCAGTGTAAGTTGGTAAAAGTACGGCACAGCAAAGGATTTTGTCTCGCTGACCTCTGCTGCTCACGACGTAGCCACACAGCAGCAGCCGAAAACACCTTGTGATGCTTGGTGGCTGCAATCGTAAGTAATTTCCAGGCTCCAAATCCCGCTTAGCTTTTGAGATCTGATAAGATGGCATCTATTCCGGGTTATTTGGTCAAGAGGCAAAATAAACAAAGAATTGATAATAATTAGCTGTGCGCGATGCATCACTTCATCAAGTTTGATCAATTATTAAGCATTGAATCTTGGAAGAGTCTATTCGTTTTTATCCATCTAACATAATCTGTTCATGCGAGCCCCTCCAGCAACTAGGGGCTGCTATATTCACCACACAAATAAACAATCTTGAATGAACACCCTTGATTGTGACAATTAATTCAATGCAATCCATTTCAATGCAATCCATTGAAATGTCACAATTAAGGGTGAAAGACCCAACACAGAAGATCCATGGGTTTGATCTTCCACTAAGCTCATGGTCCCCACCCTAAAACCGCGTCCACGCAAACCACGGCAGATGTGGATATCTGATGCACGAATGGAAAATTAAAACTTCTCCCAGTGTGTGACTGGTCATCCAGATCAGACCGTACAGCGTACAACGGCGCATTGCCCGATCCACAAATACGAAGGAGACGTTACCACAGCGATACACTCCAGACACGTTTGGTCTGGCCTGACCACCTGAATGTGAAATTGTAGTTGTTCTTCTGCATCGACATCAGCCATTTGAAAGAAGAGGAAGAATGAATTGCGGGGGCTTAAATATTACACCTCTGATAATCATTAATTACAGTGTACATTTTACACGTTAGAAAATACATTGTTTAGGACCAGACTTTTTTGTTTTAATCCATACAGGTTTTTAGGGTTAGATCGTGTAAATATGTAAATGTGTCATTAAACCAACCTCCACCCGACACAGCCAATTAGTAAGGGTTGTCACGTAAACAGAACGTGCCAATTCGTTATTAGTACAGCACACCGGTGTGTTGGAGAGCCAAGCCACAACATTTACAATCTGAGTACGACGTTTCGCCAGTAATTACAACTAGCTTCATCAGTCGACAGCCAGATTAGTGGAGAAGTCCACCGGTTTTGTTCCTTATATAGAGGCGTAGATGTTGGTGACAACACTGATTAATTCCATGTGATGTAAAATACGTAAATATTAAAGCTATAGGTTATGAGAGTTGTATTGTATTTGAGACTACTAATGCCCCTTTTGTTGTTGCATCTGAATCCAACTACTCTGGCTCATGTGATGCTTTATTAAACAGCTGCAATGGGTTTTTTTTATCAAACAGGTGAAATTCTACTGGGAGATGTACTTCAGCTCAGTCAAGGCCATCGTCCTGAGCACCCTGCAGATCATCAACGACCGCGTTTACCCTTACGCAGCCCGCTCCTATGAGGAGTGGAACGATCCGCCCGAGATGGTAAGTCTCGACGCGTGGATTGCCGACCCCGGGCAAACGCTAAGCGCCATCATGATCGACTGTTATATATGTTATCGTGTCCTAGATTGACACTGTGTTGTATTTATTGTGGATGTTTCTCGCTGCCTCATCTGCAAACTTAACAATCCCCGATGATTCTGCGCAGCGTATTGAGATGCCGTCACATTTTGGATACTTATATAAATCCAATTTGTGTTGTAGTCAAACTAAACTCACATCTGGTCTGCCACTTTCGGCAGCAAGTGCAAATTTAGCAGAAATTACCACTTTGGACTTATTTTGGTGTTATTTTAAAGTACGGTCAATGCTACGGTGCTATGGATGCGTGAATTGTTGCACCGCTGACAGTAATATTTAAACTTGAACCTATGGTACTTGCAATTCATGATTTATGACCGAATGATACATAATACGTGACCACACACTGAACTTTAACTTGAACACACGAGCCACTTACTCATTGGCTCTACATGGACATCCAATTGTATGAGATTAGCCCTTGTCACTCCCAGCAGAGATTACTTCATGAATGCCAGTTCCCCTTATTAGAGTTTCATTTCTGCCAAGGGTCCAATTTGTGTTCATATGAAATGAAATATTATTGAAATTATTTTTCTGTGGGAGTAACCACTGATTGTGGTGTGTAGACTCACTTGAAGAGCGGCACTCGCTTTTGAGAACGTTAGAGCGGCCTCATAAATGACTGAATTGTTACGTTTACTGTACTTGTGAGATTTAGTTCCTCGTATGAGCATTCGTGGTGGTGCAGGGTTTGGCGCACTGCGTTATAACCCCCGCGACCTGAGTTCGATTCCTGGCATGGGTTTTACCGGCTTCCCTCGCCTTCACCAGCCTGCAATGACCAAAGTGGTGAAGTATGGTCAGACAAACTCCCACGATCAACATGGTGCAGGGAGGCCTTCATCCAGCAGTTGATTGATAAAGAGCCATAAATTATCACTATTATTATGAGCAAGAGCAGACCACGTTTGAATGCCCCCACATACCTTAGTCTGTGGTCTCCGTGCCTGTATGTTACCCCCTTCCCAGCTAATGGGCTATATTTAAACAATGTATGGATCACATTCAAGCAGTCTCTGATGCCCTGTAGTCATAAATCAACTCTGGAAACGTAGTTGAGGGCAGGGGCTGTAATGAGGTGTGTTTGACTTTACAATCCCGTGGCCATATGCATGTGTCTAAACAAGCTATAACTATGTGCTGTGGAATCTCTGTGGTTCATACACATCTGTATTAATAACTTCCGTCTGTCGTTAGCTTGGCACACGTGATGTTGACACTTTCATGACCATCACAGAGTGGCAGATGTATTATACAATGCATGATGGCAGATATTATTCCAGATTCGTTTGTGTTTTTGTTTCACGTTTATATTTTCTACTTAAACAGGAATGTGGGTATGTGTACACACTGCACACCTTAGGTATACATACATGCACATGGAAATATATGCGTTGACACACAGAGCCATACCTGGCAACCGTTGGCATTCCTAGGTTTTAATCTGTGTACCTTTGGCTCGCAGCCAAACCAAGGCACCTGTATGATTCCTACGCTGCAATGTTCATTCCCGATATAGCCAGTATCAAAAGTTGGATTTTGCGATGGCATCTCCAATTTTTTCTAAAAGCCTTTCGTGCATTGTGCGTATGAAGTTTCTACTTGCGCACGGACATTGAATGCTCAAATCCTAAAAGTACAAAGAAACAAAACGTACTCGCACCTCTGCATGCCGATGCCAGAGACCATTGTTTTGAATTTCTAAGTCCAATACCCCCAACCTCAGTTATCCCAGTCCTCTGCAGGACCTCTTTTCTCATTTCCATCGGGCCACGGCTTATTTTTGAATTTGTAAACTGATCTTTCCTGCCCATTATTCACTGCTTTGCGCTTTATACCTCTCTGAAAGCCCTTAGGATAACAGTGTTCTCCCCAAACATGAATTGCGTTCATCACTTCATAGACTCGTGGAGCATTTTGTTGCCTTGGGTTCTCTCGCTGCTAATCAAAACCACATTGACGCCGACCGTTATTTATGGACGGGAGCCCACTTGCTCAAAATACAGAAAAATAGCCAGAGAGTGAGTGAGTGAACTGGGATTGTGGGGGGGGGCGGGTGCGTGCGTGCGCGCACAAAGAAGAGTTGGGCAGTTAGGATCGCTGGGGTTGGAGCTGACGTCTTCTGCTATGACTTGGTAGGATGTCATGCCTGTGGCTTGAAAGTGGAACATAACAGATGAGCCGTTTTTAACATTTTTCTGTTTTTTTTTTAATGGAGATCTTTCACACTTGCAAAACTTCAATCCTGCACTTGGTAGGGTTAGGACAGGGCTTATAACTGTCAGGCATATTTTTATTTCAAATGTAATCTAGAAGATTCCCCTCCGCCCCCATAAATGTGACCACATACACTTGGGCGAAAGGAAGTGCATTAGTTGGATGTGCTTGCGTTGGGGAAATTTGTATAGGCCGTATAACGAACTGCTAAATATTAAAATGCAAGCATGATTTCCCAAGCGGGTGCAAGTAAGCAATACGGCTGTTGATTAATGTGTACAAGGTTATTTAATGTGGAAACATTTTCTTACGTCATCGCGTAATATTGGGTGTGCACAAATAATCCGGTTTATAAGCTGCTGTAAAAACAATCACTCTTTAAAGTCTCCTTGGTTAATTTTTCATTATTATTAAGGATAAGCATTAGTTCTGTGTGTGTATATAGCTGATATTGAAATGAATTATGGCATTTCTAAATACACTCGGATATCCGTAATTGTAAAGCGTAGCCTGCTATGTTATTTAAGTTTCAGAATTGCGATTTTCTTGAATGCTCTTCCTCGCCAAGCCATGTAAGCACCGTCGCATCTGGCGCTCGTACAATGCCTGTAGTAAATACAACTTGCAAGCATTTCGTTTCAACAGGCGTGATGACCACTAAGCATGGCGGAAGAATGTTGCAGAGATAAAAAAAAAATGTTCCCTTACGTGGCCAATGGGCGATTTCAAGACGAGTTGCGGTTTTTTTAATTTCACTTGCGTTGTGTCCAAATGAGGGGGGGGGGGGGGGGGGGAAATCGGTCTTAGAACATATTTCCGTCTTTATCATCATCATTATTATTATTACTACTACACAAACGTATATGAATATTGTTAGCCTCATCTCCTCCGCTTTGTAATGTGGACGTTGCACATCCCTCGTGCGTGTCGTCGAGAGTCCGACTCATGTAAAAAAAAAAAATTGCGCTTTGGTAAATATATATAAATAAACTGATCAGAGCGTCGCATTATGGCTCCGCAGCACGGTCACATAAATATTTGCGCCGTGGCGCTTCGCAGATCACGGCGACAAAAGTTCCACGGGAGGCCAAATGGTTTTAATCAGAGGCCAGTTTGCCGGGCAATGAAGCACGAGAGTCACCTGGTTAGCTTAATGCACGCTTGCGCCGGAAGTGTCTCCACGGTGATTTAGCACCCATTGATCTTTCCCCATTTGCTCCCCCGGCGAGCACCAAAGAATGTTTTATTTTGATAGATCGTCTCTCAAGGGGAGAGAAACTGCTGTAATCACACGCGTAATTACGTGTGCTGTTGTGTGCATTGTATATATATACACACACACACGCACGGTTAGCGTGCACTGCACCGTGAACCAGACGAACCGAGTTCAATTCCCGGTCTTGGCTTATGTCAATGGCGAGCCATATCTGAACGCCTTCATCAACTTGAATTGACCAGCATTGTGAAGTATGGCCAAATAATCCCCATGACCAACACAGTATGTCAAGGCCTTCATCCTGCAGTTAATTGACAAAGGACCACATCAGAAAATATATTCCCATCAAAGATGAAGTTGCAAGTACTATCCTCCCCCGCTTCAGAAACCTGCATTGACCCGCGTAGTGAAGTATTCTAAAACAATCCTTGTGACCAACGAGGCGCGAGAGGGAGGCAATTGTCCAGCTGTGGATTGATAAAGGGTTGCAAAGGATTGTATTATATCTGCACATGCACGCTCATACGGTGCATGTGCATTACACACGATTCATGAGAAGGTGGTCTCTACTTTCTGAAAACGTGGTAATAGTGAGCTCACTCACACTCGGCTCCACTGAAATACTTATTCTGCATGGGGCTTTAAAATGTAAGCTTATTTTAAAGCCACACACAGAATAATACATATATTTTTGTCATATATATGTTTTTACTTGTGCAAACATCTATATACCAAACTTGCCATTGTTGTATAATACCCTTGACCACATCATTTGTATTCTTAGCTCTTTCGGTAAAGTCACGTTGAAAGGAAACAATAAAATAATAAAATATATATATATATATTTTATTATTTTATTGTTTCCTTTCAACGTGACTTTACCGAAAGAGCTAAGAATATGAATTACTGCAGTCACGAAAGCTTTAAATCAAAATTTCACATCATTTGTATTTTATTACTTTAAGCCTATTAATTATTCGCCAGCGAAACTCGCCTCTTTTAGAATGTAACAACATTCACAGCGGTACGTTCGATTGGTGCAGCTCACGTTTGCTGTTAAAACTGCATGCGGGGCTAGCCGCGACATCCTCTGCTATTCGCCGTTCCATCGCAAGCAAAGTCGACGCATCAAATAGATGTATTCAGCGCAAATAAACTACTAGATTAAACGATGTTTTTTTTTTCACCAGGTAAGGCCCGCTGAACCATGTAGCTCTTTTTCAGAAGCCACAAATGATAGGTGAACGAAGTGGCTTGTCACGTGGAAATTTGTAGCAGCCAAATACTTTGAATGTACGAAATGGCGAACGTTCACGCTGTCCCGTGTGAGTTTTGGTTGCTGTAATACACAGCAGTGAGCAGATTAATATGGGACTTCAATGTCAGAGTGACCTTCATATCACTGCTCATTTAATTAATTTTGTGTGTTTCTCAAATTTTGTTACCGTCCATTATAAGTTTCTGTTTTTTTGAAGATAATTGTTAAATCACAAAATAGTCACTCTATTCTGTCTTTTTCTCGAGATAACCAGATATCCCCGCACCTCCGATTAGCGCGGTTGGCTGCGTGCGTTGCGAAATAAGTTCAACATAGGTGCAGATAGCAGCAGTTACGAGTGTGGATAATATTTATTTCTTCAGAATCGGAGTATTTATCCTGGAGAATCCAATGACCTATGAAATTATAAACTTTTACTAAACAATTTTTAATTACCAATTTAAGGCCCACTGAGCTATATAGCTTTTTTCCAGAAACAACCTGGCCACAAATGATAGCTCAAAGAAGTGGCTTATCACGTGGACATTTACAGCAGCAGCAGCAGCAGCAGCAGCCAAAAACTCTGAACGTACGAAATGGCGAAGCTTCGCGCGACCCCCTGTGGGTTTTGGTCGCTGTAATGCACAGCAGCGAGCGCGACGGTTCTGTAGGGGAAAGAATCCGACGTGTGACACGTGTACACGTGTGACACGTGTACACGTGTGCGATGCACGCGACACCCGGCGTGGCGGCACGCTCTCTAGCACTACGAAGCTCTAGAGCTGCTACGTTTGCGATTACGTTTTGGGTTTTTTTTCTTTTTTTATCGCGTCAAACTGACCTCCATCGCAAGACGCTGTGCACAAACGGTATTTATTTTCTAGAGGGCGGCAGTCAGGCAGAGGCAGAGGAGAAAAAAAACAGTGATGTCTTGAGACTGTCTTGGACAGGGAGCCGACAGCATGGAAGACAGGGGAAATGGGAGATTTGAGGCTTTGGGGGCAGCAGAGGAGAAATGAATGATCTTCTTCTGAGAAAATGAGTGATCTTCCTCCAAGAGAAGACTGACTGGGGACTTTGGAAGAAAGCCTTTTGTTGTTGGTGTGGAGATTTGGTAGAGTTGAGTATAGACTGTTACGAGAGGGGAGACTAAAACGGTGTGTGGAGGGAAGTGAGATAAGAGTGGAGGAGAGGGTAAGCAGGGGAAAGTCCATTTAGAATCTTGAGGAAGGTGAGTTAGATTGTTCAAATAGATCCGGGATCAGATTGGGAGCTATTGGAGGGATTGGAGTATTTGTTGAGCTATCATTCGTGGCCAGGTTCCTTAAAAAATAAATTAATATCTTAGTGGGCTTGTTCTGGTAAGATACAGAACCAAAAATAATTCCTGCAGTCACGAAAGCTTCAAATCAAGTAGATAACGATAGTTCAGTTTTATTTGTATATTTCTAAGTGATTTGTTTACCTTTCCTATACTTTGCGCTCCTATCGTGTTTTTGTATTTATTGTTGTAACGTGCTGACCCACCCCTACTGGACATATTGGTGAAAAAGAGCTTTATAGCTCATCGGATTCCTCCAGTCTGAATACATAGCGTGATGATTCTGACTCGTTATGTTCGCAGAGGTGGAGCGGTGTGAACAACCCACTCTTCCTGCCACTCATCCCCCCACGGAGCCAGGGCTTCACGGCGGTGGTGCTCACGTACGACCGCGTCGAAAGCCTCTTCCGCGTCATCACCGAGATCGCCAAGACGCCCAGCCTCTCCAAGGTGCTCGTCGTCTGGAACAACCAGAACAAGAGCCCGCCCGCAGGTACAACGCGGCGGGTTCCCGCAGTGCCTGGTGTCTGTGTGACGACGACGTTAGGAAGTGCTCCGCCAAGGCCAATGGAAGTTTGTTTCAAAGGATGATGCAACGCCAAAATACCAAGGCTGTGTATGGCCCAGGCTGTCCAACATCAGTTGAAAATGTTGCTGATCAGATGGGACTCTCGTAATGTCTAAACCCAGTGACCTGAGTTTGATCCCATTCATGGCTAACATCAGTTAAGGATGATGACGCAAATGATTCTGGGCCTCCCTTGCCAGTATCAAAATATAAGAATAGGTTTTACCCTTTCTGGCAATGAAACCGTTTGTGTTAAGATGTTAAAACACCAAACTGAAACCTTATTGCCAGAAAGGGTTAAACCTATTCTTATATCAGATTCTGGGCCCACCGTTCACCAACCTGCACTGACCAGCATGGTCAAGTATGGTAAAAAAATAACCCTCATGGCCACACGATGTGGGGAGGCCCTTATCCAGCAGTAGAATGACAAAGGACTGTAAACATTTTTTGTCCTGCAATTCCTATGGCCTGACAAGTTTTGGTACAAGGTTGCAATAATGTTACTCGAGCGAATGATGGAGCACCTGACCGTGATTGTTATCGCGCTTTTAAACTCAACTTTTAAGAGCCCGGGGCACACATTCTATATGCACGTCAACAAATATGCGCATAGAGCTGGCATGAGTAAACAACGCATTTGGTGAGAGTAATTTGGCATGAACACTACCTTTATAGGAAAACCTATAATGGGATATATCCCTTCTTCATAGTGCATAACGAAGGGCCAGTAAGAAGGGCCAGTGGATACCTGCCAACCCCTTATCAGTGCCCTATCTTATTACAGACCAATTCAGACCTTATTGGTCACTCCGTCCCCTTATAAATCTCAACGTTCATTCTACAAAGTCCCATGAAGAGGGAGAAACACAAGCAAATAGACTCAAACTAAGTTTTGCCCGTATTGGAACAGCTGTATGCCTTATGAACCTGAAAACTCAATTTCCCTGTACAAGAATACGGGTAAACCGTATGGGTTGACAGGTATGCAGTTGGGAAAAGTAACAAAAGCTATGGCAAAACGTGACGTGGCTAATGGTGCCAATGATGTCAAGCCCCCTCCTCCCCCACCCATGACCTCCCGTCCAGTGTCACAAGTGGGAACGTTGGTCCTTTTTTGTTTTCCCCATCTATATTGTGTACTGTCCGGTTTTTGGCGTAATGGAATCGGTAATCGGTAGCGCCATCAGACACTTAAATATTATATATCCCAGCTGCGCAAGTGGGTTGAATCTTTAGTTTAGTCACGTGGAATATTGATGGCGATGCGCATCTGAAGTCTAGTGACTTGGATGCTAGGTTAGTGGATCACCCTGGGATGGTGTTGGCAGGTTTAGGAGGACCACACCTGCAGAGAAATTAATCGGGTGCCTGTTGAAGGCAGTAGAGTTAGTATTCAACTTGTCTTTGTGGCGTTTTAATGTCACCCCCTAGTGTGGCTTTATGGCATGAATTCTGCTTTCCCACCCTAGAAAAAAAAATCCTGAGGAATGAGCCAAATATTTCAACCAAAATCCTCCTGAATTGTTTTATTTGAGTCCCACTGAGGCCTTGCTGGATAAACTGCGATGTTATATCATAAGATATTAAATGTGAGTTAATATCAGCTGCTAGTCTGCCAAAACATGTTCATAAAACAATATAAGTATTTTCAAAAGAGCCTTTGGTAATGACACTTGTCTTGAAATAATTTTAAGTGCACTACCTTATGTTTGCCAGCACGGCCATAACCGTTTTAGTTCAACACACATTGTTCATAGCAAAGACACATGGAGGAAAGTATCTTCACCTGCACAGTACAGTTTAAAAGGAGTGACACTTGGGAGCACTGAATGTTTCTTATCCGAGACGACCCGTTGGAAAGCGAGTAAGAAACCTAACTGTCCAAACATACGGCTATCTATCCATAACAGGTCCACATACAGCTACATCTGCTTTTTTTGTGTGTGCGTTTTTCACAAAGTTAGCAGCAAAGCCCAGTTCATAATCACATGATTCCATCAGGCTTTAAGCATAGGCGCACACTCACGCGGACGTCTGCGGGCGCGATTCGGGAGTAACCAGGGGGAAAAAGATCGCAAAGAATGGCAGAAAAGAGCAGGGTTAATGGCAGCCTCCATCCCTGCTGACCTTTGACCTCGCGTCGGGGAGGAAGTTTTCCTTTAGAAGGCGGAGGGTAGGGGGAGGGAGGGCAGCAGTGATTTAGGTAAGGGTGCGGAGTCCCATCGACATGCATGAAATAGTGCCTGTCTTACTGATTTAATTTGCGATGACGGCAACAGGGTAGGCTCAACGGTAGAACGCTTAACGGTAACAGTGCCCAGCTTCGGCATTTCTTTGAACCTTGGTCTAGGTGCATTAGTAACGTGCCGTTGCTCAGATGGGATTTCATTTGGTGTCCTGTCAATTCGCGTTTACAAGAGGCTCTAAGGACATTGTTTTTTAATGTGACGTCTTGCTACCTTTTTGAAAGAGTATAGCTTGTTTGTATAGGTTTGAAATAATTAACCGTTACTCAAACAACACGATAAAGGATTGAACGGGGAGAATGATGTACACGAGTGATAATGTTGGTGATGACAAAAGTTTTGATGTTGGGGAAAGTGGTGGCGATAGTGCCAAAAGTCGTGATGGTGTTCGTGGCGACACGGACAGTCGTCATGGTGCTGACTGTCGTGATGGTATTAGTGGTGATGCTGACAGTCGTCATGCTTGGTGTTGATTATGGTGCTAGTGCTGATAGTCCTGGTAGTGCTGATCCTGCGCGTGTGTATGCATGCATGTTGAACTCCTTTTGCACCGTACGTAGCCAACCTTGCTAATCGAAGGTTGCAGGGGAAGGACAACGAACTAAGTGCAAAAAAGTAGTTCTGAAGAACTGACGGTCGTTACGGTTTTGCTGGTGATGGTTCCGTGTGACTGACTGCCGACGTCTGCCCTTCGCCGCGTTGGCCCCGCGCACCTTCGCAGAATCCCTGTGGCCTCGCATCACGGTGCCCCTCAAGGTGGTGCAGACAACGGAAAACAAGCTGAGTAACCGCTTCTTTCCCTACGAGGAGATCGAGACCGAGGCCGTGCTCGCCATCGATGATGACATCATCATGCTCACGCCCGACGAGCTGCAGTTTGGATATGAAGTACGTACGCGTGGATGTATGCATGTATGTCGAACGTCTTTCGCACCGTGCGTTAAGTCGACCATGCTAATCGGAAGTAAGCAAGATGTGTTTAATGCCACATTGTAAACGAGAACTTAACTCATTTTTTATCTTACCACCAGGTAAGGCCTACTGAGCTATATAGCTTTTTTTGCAGAAGCGACTTGGTGACAAATGATAGCTCAATGAAGTGGCGATCACGTGGACATGTATAGCAGCCAAATACTCTAAACACATTTTTATATGTGGAGGAACAAACTAAAATCCACGTGACCACGGGGACAGCATGCAAACTCCGAATATACAGCAGGCGTCAGGTTCGGGATCAAACTCACGATCTCCCGTATACCAGGCGAGGAAGTTAACATTTCACCACTGTCGCGCCCCATTGTACCGACCGCAGTGCCTTCAAACCTAACATTAGGCATATTCCTCAGTGCTTGTAACTTCTGCCTTGGTAACATTAGAAGTATCAGCATCTGAATCTTTATTTATACTGGAGGAATCCGATGAGCTCGGAAGCTTTTTTTCACAGATGTCCAGTAGGGGGGGGGATCAGAAAGCTACAGCAAGAAACTACAAAAAAAACTATGAAAGAGCAAGATAGAGAAAAGGCAGGCAAGTCACGAAAAATATAAATAAGTAAAACACAAAAGTGCACATTGCACACGTACATACATTCCTGCCTGTTTGGCAATACCAAATGAAAATTTGGGGAAGGCAGCATAACAACAACAATCCCAGACACCACACCAAGACAATACAATCCCTCGATTACATTGCACGTACAATTTCAATAAGCGATACATTTCTAAGGTTCACAGCTACAAATCACGTTGGCAATTGTGGCCGTTTATGGCAATAATCTTCTGCTTAAGGATATGTTTTTGATAGAAGACGTAACGGTTAAGGGAGGAAACAAGGTTGTTCCAAAACGTTGATGCCGTAATAAATGTAATAATGCTGATGATGGAAAATTAATAATAGAGTAGCATGAATATTAGCCCTTCGTCAATCTACTGCTGGATGAAGGCCTCCATAAACAGTTTGGGTCACGGAGGTTTGTTTGATCATACGTCTCTCTACCGTGGTCATATCACTCATCGCTTATGTTCGCTGTAGCTGGGAATTGAACCCAGGCTGATTTCATAACGCTCTTTGCAAACCACTGTCGTAATACTTAGCCTCAATACTGCAAGAGATCCTGATTTGAAAAATGGCATTAAAATGTCTAATGTATACAGATTATAGTGACTAAGTGACTGATATACATTCCAATTATGTTCTAGAATGGCTGAAAAGCTGAAATATGATACAAATGTAATTAAATATAACTATAAACGCCAAAAAAAACATTATTTTACATTTTTATTTAAAGCTTTCGTGACTGCCCAAAACAAGAATTGTCTGGAGGTTGATTTATTTCACTCGTAGACCAGGATCAGGGTAAGACTCTACATTGTTTTCAGTGTTATGCTAAATACTTACAAATATGTCATCAGTGAACCAATTAATTTGTCTCCCATTGAGGAGCAAGTAGCAACATATTGAAGGTACAATAGATTATATTGTTATAAGTACACGCATTTTTTTTAATTGTAGAAAGGTTATAAGAACTTTGGTTGCGTGGTGGGATGGGGAAGATAACGGGAGGGGAATTCCAAAGTATGCCAGTGCTAGAGGAGGAGGAGAAGCGGAAAGCGAAGCGTGGAGTGGCCCGCAGTGTGGTTGGGCGACTGATGTGGATGGGACGTGTAACGTTCAATGTCTTAGCTCCCGAGTCATCGTCATCGGTGGAGAAATCGACGAGTGAAATTCATGTGAACAGTAACCATGGTGGTATATTGAAAGAAGGGTGATGTTATAATAATAATAATAATAGGGTTTTCCCACTTTTTTTCTGGCAACAAAACTGAAACCTTTTTGCAAGGATTCATGTCTGCATTAACCACAATACCTGCAGTCAAAATGCAAACAGAAAACATACTATGATAATATATGATGCATTGTCCTTGAAAGTGATTGGTCCACACCAAGGGACGGCTTTCTTTTGAGCCTCGACCCAATTGGTGCTCGACCAGAGGACGCCAAAAAGCGTACAGCTCAAAGACAATGCACTATCAAAGTAATGAGGGCTCGGGGTGAGCATCTTACATCATTAGACCTCCTTTGCCAGTACCAAAATGTAATAATAGGGTTTTTACCCTTTTTTCTGGCAACAAAACTGAAAGCTTTTTACAAGGATTCATGTCTGCATTAACCACAATACCTGCAGTCAAAATGCAAACAAAAAACATACTATGATACTATAATAAATGGGAAAACCCCTATTATTACATTTTGGTACTGGCAAAGGAGGTATAATGAAAAAGGGTGATGTTGATAATAAGAAGAAGAAGCAATAGGTTTACTGTAATACTATGCATTTTAATGTAGCTTTATAAGCAAAGCATCAAAAAGGACACTCGCATTTCAAGCTGTGATCCACAACATCGCCGTAAATGCAAGAAACTTTAATTCCTTCATCATTTTTAGTTGTTTCGTTTTTTCAGCTTAGTCCTTTAACCCAGTATCACACTGAGTACGTCCAATGTTCGTCCATAGTGTGAGAGATCATTCGACATGCAAGCATGCCGACGTTTCAGCAACGAAATTAGACAAGATGCTATTTGCCTCCCGGAAAATGTCAAGATGTTTGGTACGTCGTTCGTGGTTACGTGTGTTTCTGTTGGCCAGTGGTCGTAGCTTATAGCGGCGATTTTTTCTCGTCAATTTGACCTTTAAAAAAATATCTACTCTGGAGTGTGAAATCTCACAGTGAGAAACTCGCATCCGACTTCTTTTTTCGGTGCACTTTTTGTCGTTGTCAATTCTGAGCTATGCGTGGTGTAAGCCACTGATTTTAAATGGCGGTGTGAGGTCACAGATTTAAAATTGAGTCTGCAAATATTTTCCTTGTTATATTCTTAGAATCCGTGTATTTGCGTACGCTTGCTGGTCAAACGTTTGGCACACTTGCATTGAATATGGCTGTGACGATGCGGAGATTCATAGCTCTTTTAGCTCCGTGATCGGTGCACCGAATCGTGCGCGTGAGAATTGACGTCCCGATTTGTACAAGTTCAACGTGAAGGCTTCATGTGTCCCTTCCAGCCACTAGAGGACGCTACCTTCAGCACAGTTGAATCGAGACCATGCATTTCAATAATCCTTGAAATCATTGGTCGTGGGGTGGGCATAGAGAGCAAAAGTCTTACACTCCTTATATGGAACATCGAGAACTGTCCGTGTGATTTTGAAAATTACTAACACCCAACGTAGAGCTTTAATTGGGCTATGATGCGTTCATAAATGCCTCTTCAAAACAAGTCGATTGTTAGATTGGCACACCTACTTTTCAAATTTCATTCCCAACCATCTTTGATTCAGATTCGCGAACCCATGTGGCTAGTTAAATGGAAATATAGAAAAAAAAAAAATCTCGCTCAATGGCAAAAGTTAAAAAGATCTAGATACGTGAGATTTTTGGTATCGTTAGCAGACTTGAAAGCAGGGGCGGTGCATGTACCCTCGAGTGTGTTTGAAGAATGTGCGCCGGTTCACAGGAAAGAGGGGTTGAGCATCATCTGGAGAGTTCATAAATAAGAAGTTTTCTCACGAAGGCCTTCGACTCAAATCCTTTGAAAATATGGGCGCAAAAATGTTTCAGTAAGCCTGCAAGCAAAGTGTCCTGGCAAGGCGAAGCCCGCTGCATGGAAAGAGTTCCCTGTGTTTTCCCACTGTAGTTTGACTTTGGGGGGGGGGGGGGTGGTGGTGTGGCGGCTT